GACATTTAAAAAAAACCCCAACAAAACATTTTGAGAGTGAATCCTCTGAAGTAGTTTGATTTTCTTGTTTGGAGTAGTTTGGATTATTTTTTTCTTTATTGATCTCAACAAATCACAGACTGATGGTCAAAAATCTGTCTACTTCATGAGAATTGGGTTTCTTGTGCCAAACTTCTCATAAATTTGGGTGTGTTTTATATTATTTCTCAAATGTATGTAAATTATTAAATTGAAATGTAAGGACTGTAATAGAACTTGAAAAATAAAGCTATTAAAATCAGGGCATAATGAATTTTAGACACGATATTATGGCTTGATTCCACTTAATATTTCTGTCATCCTATGTTGGGCTATAAGTTTCAGCAAAAGGAAAGATTAAAAAAAAGGAATCAATTTTGTGGAAAAATAATTAAAAAAAATTTAATTTTGTCTAAATAGTAATTTAGTTGTTGGACTGTTTATCTAATTTGTGTTTTTAGATTAAAACAATTGCCTTTTTTTTTAATGGTAAGAAAACAAGACTTTTCCTTCAAAGCTGTATATTTTTTAACAAAGTTTTTATATTTTCTGTTTTAAAATCTGTTGGGAGAACATTTTTTTTTTTTAAATGAAAACATTTTTTCTGAGATTTTTTTGGAAGAGAAGTACAAAGTAGAATGATAGCTTGAAGATGAGAAATCTGTGTTCATGGTTATGGTGTTAACATTTCAGCATAATAAAACTCACATTAGTTGATGGGATTTAAGATTGTCATATTGGCATGTTAAAGTAGTATAAGTGCAATGATTATCTTGTTCACGTTTAGACATTCTTCAAGATTGTTCTTCATCACTCAAAATATGAGGGTAGAATGGACAATAACAGCTCTTGCCCAGAAAGATGAAGTGCTTACTCATCCTGAGTAGGACTTCTGCATTCAGATGTTCCCCTCAGGACTCAGTGTGCTCACTGAGGTGTTTCTGGCCATGCCCACATATCTAAAAATCACCATTATCCATTATGAGGTAGTAATTCAGTTGTGTTCTGCCAGTGATGTGCCAAGAGGAGTTGTAGCCAAATTTTCCAGTGATCTTTCAATCTTTCCAAACTTCCATGGCTTCACCAAGGCATGAGTATTACAACCTTATTGTGCTTAACAATGCTTGCTAAACAGATGTGCTAATTTATAATATCTGGTCAGAAGGCATGAGAAGCTGTCTAGCTGCCAACAGAAACAGGATGCATTGTGGCATGCACTTGAGTAAAGCCTGGGAGATCAGCTAGAAAGACAAGTACACCATTCCTTACTGTGTCAGACAAAAGCATGTGTTGGAAGTTGTGTCATGAAGTGAGTTGATTTAAACAGAGATAATTTAGATTATGGGTGTTTCAAATCCTTATGTTAGCCTCAGACTCTTTAACTGATATAAATTATAGCTCTACTGCAATGGGACATACTAAACATGGGGTTGTTTTTCTCCAAGCATTTACTTATTGTTAATTATTTGTACTACCATGCGAATTTTGTTGCCGAATTTTTTAGTTGCCAAAATGGCACATGGCATGAGAGGGAAAACTGAAGTAGCAATTTAGAATAATTTATTTAAAGATGATCATAAAAGTAAGAGTAACTATTGAGGCTGCAATTGCTGTGAGATATACATTGCCAGTAAACTTATTTCATTTTTATTAATACTTTTTATCACTGGGAAGTTTAAAACTTATTTTGTTTATTTGTTTTTCCTATGTAAAACTTTCAATATATTTGCATAAGAATTAAGTTAAAAAATTGAAATACTCTATGCTGGAATACACTCATCTAAATATAAAAAACCATAAATAGATGTGGACTGGTTTTGAAGAAAAACAGAGAAGAGAGAGAATCTCTCCTTAGAAGAAAAATGAGAGAGACAGACAGACTTAACTTTGTATAAAGCGTTGTGAGAGTCGTAATATGGTGGGATATTATGGGAAAAAGTTCGGTGAAATACAGTTTATGACATCAAAAAAATCCAGATTTTCTGAGAAAACCTGGAAATCATTCCTGTGAAAGAACAAGTTCAGTCTTCATTTTTATGTAAATAGTTTCACCATATTACCTTCTCCTTTAGAAAAATGCTCACTGCTTTCCTTTCAGATTTTACTACTGTGAGGACAGCCCCACAGAAAAGGAGTAAGGAAAAGTGTTCATTTCTGTAAGATTCAAGAAGCAAGTGCCTGGTGTAGTCAGAGCTCTATTTGCAGGAGTAGCAAATAGTCATCTTTAATGATTTATTTCTGTGTGCAGATGTTCTGGCAAAGGCTATAGTGTTTAAGAAGCAAGAATCATAGTAAATCCTGAATGCCTAGAGGCACTGATGACTGCATAAAAATATTGCAGCAATCTTTTTTGACCAGTAATAGTTTTTTTTTTTCTCAGTTTTATTTCAGCTCTCAGGGCCAGCCAGCTTGTTATGCTACCCATCTTGAACAAGATACCATTTTCACACTGGTAGGAGGCTACTTTCTAGCAGGTATTTCTTACTACACATTTTGTGTGGTGAAGCAGGCTTTCTTCTCTTGCTCATTGCAAGCATAAGTCAAAGTAAAGATGGCTGGTAGCAATTTGAACAGATAATGAGAATTAATGTGATTAAAAGAAAACCAGATCTACTGCTAGAATAGTCTAGAAGCAGGGAAGCCACCAATGATTAAACTGGATTCCCAGGACAAAGTGTTGCTAAGAGCACCTTCTCATCATATCTTTGAGCATTTATCCTAGAGGTGATTTTTTGCCTCTCAGTACTCCATATCTAGTCTCATTCAGATGTACTGAGAACATCACTGGTCTCCCAGCTGCCTTCCCAGCTTGTTGGCCTGCCTGTCCTGGACCCTGGAGAAACTCCATGTCATATACTCACATGTGGACCTGGATGTTGAATTGAGGAATGGATGCTGGTTAAATTTCTCTGGAACAGCTCTGATGTGAGCAGTCCAGTTTTCTCTGTTCTCTTGTTCCTGGGGAAATGACTTTCACCTGTGGGGAGGAGACCACCACATGCAGCTCTCTGTGGCTGACCAGAGTACGCTGTAGTGCAGGAGCAGTTCCACCCTCCTCTGGTGCAACCTGCCTGGGCAGTTTGACACTGCTATACCTCACCCCTCTGAGATTGCTCTATTACAGAAGTGATGTTTAAGTATAGTGCATGTACTTGGTATACTGTGAAGGGTGGAAGGAGATCTTTAGAAAATATGAAGACTTCATCAGAACTTCAATGTTCCTAATCTTTAATGAAGAATCAAACAGGACTTTCAAGACTTCTGTTTCTTGTGGACTTTATGAATGTGGGAGTAGAGGTCTTTGATGGAAGAAGCAGTAAGTCCCTCAGCTATTTCTTCCTTACTTCATCCTTGTAAGCATCAGCATAACAATTCTGCTTTACTTTTTAAAACCTGTTCTCTTGACATTTCTCTGAAGCGTGAACACTGGCCATTCGTAATAGTGCTGTCGATATAATAAACATTGCCTGAGTGGAAGAAAGGAGAAGAGGATTCACATCTAAGCTTCAGAGAGTGCAAACAGTAGCAATTTTTTGTGGCCCTTTGTTCTGAAATGCAGGATCCAACAGTATGCTCTTGTTATCCTGATGTGTTTGATTGAAGTTTTAACGAGACTGAATTTCCTTCTTACATCTCTCATCAGGGTGGCATCTTGGGATATATTGCTCAGGTAACTTTTTTTGGACATAGGGGAAAACTTCATCCACAGTGCTCTGGAGAGCAGCTGTAGACAGACTGGTCAAATTCTGCTCTAGCCTTGGCTTCACTGACTTAAAATTATCGCTGCTCACAAGATCCCTCTGGCAATGTGTGGGTGGGGACAGCCCCCCGGGCAGCCTGACAGCACTGCGGGGAGGCCATTCCCTGCCACGGGGAACTCCTGCCTGTGAGGTGGTTTTCATCCCGATGGCCAGTGGAAGACAAAAGATCTCCAGATGCAAAATGTCACTGTGTTGTGCTGGGCAAAGGGCCTTGAAGTCTATTCTTGAATTGGTGCATGTCAGAGCTGGAAGCTGGGGTGTACCAGGCAGCCTCCCCATGTCAGCTCTATCTAGCAGAATTTTTTTTTGTTAGTCTTATTTTCCTAATTAGGAAATCTGGTTCATTTTGATGACAAAACCTTTTATCTTCTTTTTTTCCTCTGAACCTCACCTTCCAAATTCACAAAATGTTTTGCAGTGGCTTACTGACGTGATTAATTTTTTTTCAATTTTTACATTTTGATGGATGCATAAAACCTTCTGCAATGCTTTGAAAGCAAATGTTTGTCAGAACTGCCTTCCAGTGAGGAAGTCTCACATTCCTGTCACTGCAATGATCTACATTTGTGATTAGTGCAGCAGTTCTGTGCCTTTGTGCTGGGGGACACATCCCCATTGTTCTCTCTTTACCTGCTGGACCTTGCAGTGTTCCCTCAAAACTGTGTTTGCTGAACGGCTGATCTGAAAAAATAGGAGGGAATGATGCTCCCTCTCCCCTCATCTGTGTCTTTTTGCAGGAGACTTGCTTCGAGAGAAACCCCTTAGAATATTGTCTCAGGAGTGGCTATAGGCTTTGGGTATTTTTTCCAGCCTCCCCTCTGCGTTTCATCTTCTGGGCTAGCAAAGAACTGCGCATCATTGAAAGAGAGCAGAACACCAGGGAAGTGCTTCTTTAGACCTAGAGTGTTTCTTTACCCTTTAACTGCACTAACTCTTCATACATTTCTGCAGACGACTTATCTTTGCCTGCTACGGCAAAAGAGACAGCTAGGAGGCAGTAGTAATTGCACTCAATGTTTCTGCAGACTCTTCTTTGGCCTGCAAACATAACAGGAGTAGGAGAACAACTCAATACTATAAGGGGCCTGCATGCAAATTCACATTTGGGGCAGGCACACTTCACTAAGCATGACGTTTTGATTTCTCGTTTTTCTCTGTGAGGCCACAGAGGCAGCTGGAGCATCTCTCTTCTGTTGAACAACTTCTTTCTTTCCAGCCCCTCTCCTCCCGAAGGCGGTGAGCGTGGGCTCCTGCAACTTCTTGCTCAGAGCTGTCAGCGCCTGTAACCTCCCGCTCTTGGGCTTCCCAGCTGGACTGACAGGACCTGGCTGTGACCCAAGCAGGGAGATGTCTCCAGACCCTTTCTGCCTCTGAGATGGGAGCAGTGAACTTTGTTCCAGTTTTTCCTGGCCCTCTCCCAAATGGAGTCAGAAGCTCTCTTTTTGAATTACTTGCAGGTGAGGGGATTGAATAATTTCAAATGCATTTGAAAATAAGGTTATAACCAATGGTGTTATAATGTGACAAATGCAGTTTTTTGCTGATAGGCCTGTGATAAGAACTCTTTTGACTTTTCAAAGGGTAATTTAAAGAAAAATTACAAGAAATTATCTTAAATTTATCCATTGTGGCCAAAGCTGAAGGTCTACTCTGACAATTATGACATGATTATACTTGGCTTCTTGTTTCCGATGCTAATGGTGAATCTGTAGTTTCATTTGCAGTTGGAAACACAAAGTCATGGGGACCAAGGTGGGTGGGACACAACTTAACCAGGGTGGGACGTCCCATCAACTTTTGTGAAAAGTGCTTTATTATCTGTTTGTCATTGCATCATGGCAAAACACCAGCTTAATATCCAACTTTCCTGGTGAGATAGTAAATGAGAGAAAATATGCAAATGAAGAAACTCCTTGTACAATTAAGATAGCCAATTTAGATAGCTAATTAACCAGTTAAGTAACTGACTAGATCTGATTAATTAGTAGTTAATGGCAAGGTTCTGTCAGATTAAATTGATCTCCAGTAACCCAAAGGATAATTATGAGCTTACAGTCACTGTGATTATTTTTCCCCTGTATTGTTGCAAGAACCCCAGGTAGAGGCAATGTGATAATTTAGGACTATTATGTAAGGCTGTCTCCTTGCCACAGGACAGTGTTTCAAGCACTGCTATAATTTGGGGCAGTGCTATTCTTAATGCTTGGTAAGTGAGATATATGATTAAATAATCATTGATTTTTTTAAGGGAAATTTTTGTAGCACTATTGTTAGTTTTATATCACCTGTCAATTCATGACCCACTGAAGTGCAAATTGTTGCAGGCAGCCAAATAAACAGAAAGCAAGCAGAGAGGTTAAAGATGGTGACCAGTGTGAGAAATGTAAACAGAAGGAAGGCAAAATTTTCCAGGTTGTCTTCCAGCCCTGACTTGTTGCTTGGTAAAGCAGAAATTTTTTTTTGAGTAGTCTGTGTCAATGCCATCTGAACAGGAACTGAGCTACGCATATTTTGGTGGTTCTGCAACACAAATAGTTTTAGTCATGTTACATATCTCAAATATTTTGCTCAGAATCAGGAAGGCATATGCCCACTCTGGATGTCATCTGAGGGATGCCTGGAAGGCATGTCTGGCAGGATTATGCCAATATCGTTGCAGATCGATGTACTCACTGTAGCTTGTAACTGGTAAGAGACAGCATCAGGCCTTGTGGATTTTGACTTCCACAAGAGAAATATTACTAATGAATTAAGGTTGTTTTCTGCAATTAGAATCATTAGAACTTCAGTGTTGTTTTGTGTTTTTTTTTTTTTTCCCTTTTTTCCACCCATAACATTACCTTTGATCTTTAACGGAGATATTTCTGTTTATTTCAGAAGAGATGATGTAGTCAAATGGAAATGATTGCAAGATATTTCTGATAAGTCACTTGCTGTGTTTCCACATTTGTTGCATCAGCTATTACTCACGTACCTACTTGTTTATTACTCTTCTTGAAAGATCAGGAGTGAAATGGGTCTAATAAAGCTATTCAATCGGATATTTATAGTTAAGTTGTTGAATCAAAATTTAAAAGCCTCAAAAATTTGAATTAGAAATCTTTTAGCTGAAACTGCTTTTGACATGTATTCAATTCAAACTGAAATTAAATTAGTTGGTTTGGGGCACTTCTAAGAAAAAACAAAGAAATGTAGGTATCATTTACAAACTGATAATGTATAACCATCCCCTTTGCTTTGATCCAATAGATCCATTACATTTTATCCTTCAGAAAGTGAGAGATTCAAGTTTGTTTTCTCCTTTATATAAAGCCATTTGAAGTGGAAAAGGTTTCACTGTGCCTTATTTTCTCTCTTTGGTTTGTTCCACTTTTCAATTTTAGTGAATTGAACATTCATGGCAGCAGACTGAAATCCAACTGCACATTTTCCATGTGGGTGTCTCAATCTGTAGGCTGGAAGTTTTCCCTCTCCTCCTGTTCCTAGATCTTACCTCATTGCAAATGGAGGGGCTTAGGAAGAGGGCTGGAATCCCAAATCCTCACTGTAGTGCTTAGGGTATACCTTTAGGGGTGACACCCCTCTTGAAATTCAATGTCCACCTAAGTGAAGACAAGGATACACATACGGGTGTCTCCACTCTGCAATACAGCGCCCTGAGTGCTGTGAAATGAGGGGGTCTGGGCCAAGTCTTCTCCTGCCACAGTTGTTCCAGTTCGGAATCAGGGTCCCCTCCTGGTGGTTATGAACCCGAGTGCTGACTCCCACCAACCTCTCGCTGGCTTGCCAGGCTCCCAAGCTCAGGCATAGCTTTTGTGGGCTGGGAAGCTCTTCTGCCAACAAAACCCACCAGCCCTGGGCACGCTCCTGGGCTGCCACAGGGTGACCACCTACCATTGCACCGGGGGCACACATGGGCCCCAGCTCAGCACGGGATGCCAACTGCAGCCGGGGGTAGGGGAACACTGGGAGGTGTGGGGGCGCGTGGTTCCCAGAGGCAGCCCCTGCAGATTCATGCTGGACCATCCAGTAAGGATGGGAATAGACTAGCCCTGCTTGAGTGACCGTATTTATCCAGCTCCTTCTAGTTCACCTGTCTGTTTAGAAAGGATAGATGGTTTTCCCACAGTGCACCTGCAGAAAATCGAAAGGAAACACTTATTTTACTGTAGTGCAGAGATAAACAGGTTATGCTCTTCTGAAATGTTGGTTTTGCAACAGTTGAGCACACCTGAGCTGACATAAAAGTCCTGATGCTATTTCACAGTGTAACTAATCTCACTCATGTTGGGTTTACTTAGGAGAAATAAACTCAGGTTATGTGTATGAGAGTAATTTCTGCAGTGAATGTGTAATTTTTTTTTTTTTTTTTATACCTTTCTTTACACAGTGAATAATAAATTATACTCTTAACTAGAGTGAGACAGAAGTCAGTACTGCTTTTGAAAATTGGATGCTGGCTTGAAGATTGCTTATCCGGTTTCTGGAAACTAAACAAAAGTTTGAGTTAAAGTCACTGAGAAGGTTCTGCTGAAATCCATTTCAATTCCTTTGGCACAAAGCACACAGGCGGAAACATATCCTTGCCAGTTAACTAACGCTTCTCCTCTTGATCCTGGTATCGTGGCTGAATCAAATCTGTGCAGTTCATATAATTACACCCCAACCTCCCCAAACCCAAAGCATGCATGAAATGAAGAAATGACAGGAAAAAGGCCACATGTCACAATAATTACTATAATTTAGTCTGTTATTCCCTTGTTTTCTGGCTCGGTATTTGAGGCTCAATGTTAATTTGCTTGTATAACTAAAGGTGTTTCCTCTGCTTGTTTATGCTAGCTATGATTTATAAACATCCTTGAAATTATTTGCCATAACATCTCTCCTCATCATGATATTACTTGAATTTCAGCCACTTATAGAAAGTACTTCTTTCTATTTTTGAACAGAAGCAGTTGGGAGCCAGAAAAATATGTATTTGTTTGCTTTTCTATTTTTGGTTTGAAATTGCTGGAAGTCAGTAGGTGGGGTTTTATTTTCTGTTTTAAGATTTTATTTTCAAACTAAAGCAAATATTATGTATGAGGAATGGCACATATCTTAAATTACTGTTTCTAGTAACAGGAAAAATTTGTTGTCAGAAATTCTTCTGAAGTGCGGCTCTATTTCTGGAAATCCTTTATTGCTCACTTCAACGTAGTCTTGTATCCTCTCCCATTTCACTCAATGTTTCTTTCATACACAGATATGTGAGCTATGTAGGAACTTTGCTAGCACTAAAAAGTTGATATGTTTTCCTTCATCTTGTACACTGCACTGATTATTTCATCATCTGTCCATTCTACCAGCCGAAGGAAAATAATGTAGAGAGTTGACTATTGGTTGTGTATACAAAATTAAATCACCCAGACTGTCACCTAAATAGATAACTACTAACTTTATGTATCTATGGAAAATAAAACCTAGTGTCTATTGTTGGGCTGCACAGATTTTACTCTCCAGAATGGCAAATTGCAATTAATTACAGAATGGGTATTCCAGTATGAAATGTCATCCCATTCAAGAAATCCAGAAGATTACCTAGTTAGAATTCCCAGAAAACACTGGGAATTACTCAGTGAAAGCAGAAATCAAAATCTTATTTATTTTTTTCAAAACAAAAACCAAAATGGACAAAAAAACCCAAACAACCTTCAGTTTTACTTATTTGTTCTCTACACTTTTCCTAAAAAAAAAAAAAAAACCCAAACAAACAAAAAAAAACAAACAAAAAAAAACAACCGCAAAACCAAATCCAACCAAACAAAAAGCAACCACCCAACCACATCCATGTGCTTTATTCTGTTTATTTCATATAAAAGCTTGGATAGCTTTGAGTTAGTGTTCTTTATCACTGGTTGACTTTAAATCAGTAAAATCAGTTCACAAAACATAGCATTATCTTTGGAAAAGGTCTTTTTTTTTTTTTTTTTTGAGAGGGTGGATGGAGTGGGGTAAAGTTGGAGGGTAAAGTTGGCAGGTCAAAGCATATTAACACCCATTTTTACTCTACTGCCAAGACTTATGTTATATGAAAATATAACACAGAACTTAAGTAAACAAAACTTTCTTATTTTACAGCTTTCCCACTAAGCTTTGAAACCATTAATGGAAACTGATGGCAATGCTCTCGTAAGTACAATTGAAATTATAACATAATTACTGATCAGCTGCAGAGGTTATGTGTTGGAGTAGTGTCATAATCATCGAAGACTGTGGACAACATCAATATCCAAACAAAATTTTGTTTATAGACCAGTCCAAGTGGTGAGACTGCCAGAGGCTGCCCCAGTTTTGCTCTAAGGATGAAATGAAGTCTATTGTATGGGCCTGATGTCAGGGGTACCCTCACTTCCAAGTCCTATCCCTCAATAGATGAAAAAGCAGTAACTTAGGATACATGAGCTTAACAAAGGATTTTCTTAGCCACACATCTGTCTGACCCTTAAGAAGCTTAAGGAGATTACAGCTCTGTAGATGAACTGTTGATCATAGTTGCCTTTGGTGCCTTCTCAGATGCATGCATCGGGAGTTGAACTGATGAGACATGAAGTCTGGTCTTCAGTATTAGCCCAATTCCCCTGCATTTGCTTGTAGAACACTTTTTTTCCTTTCCCCAGAAGAGGCTCATACATCTATTTCATCCCCCTTTTTTTTTTTTTTTTTTTTTCCTGGGGAGTTTTCAGGCTGCAAGCCCTTCAGTATCTGGGCAGAAGCATCCTCTGGAGTGATCCTTGACTGTTCCTGGCAGCTCCCCAGAGGGATACTGCCCACCCAAATTTAGTTTTCAGACACAATTGCTCAAGGCCACCAATTTGGAAGAGAGGCTGGGAACATGTAGCCCCCATGCTATGTATTTGCAAATCCTTTCTGGCAGGCAAAAACAAGGTAAGGAAAGCCACGAGGGTGTGGGCCCAAGGAAGCTCTAGTAACTTAATGGTTGTGATCAGCTGACCCTGGGCCAGGGTGCCTGGAGCCTTTGATGCACCTCCCTCTGTTTAAGGAGGGTCAAGAAAAGGACCTGGGAGTCTTGGAGGACGTCAAGTTGAACATGAGCCAGCAACACGCCCTTGATGCTGAGAAGGCAAATGGTATCCTTGGCTGCGTTAGACAAACTATTTTCAGCAGGTCAAGGGAGGTGATCCTTCCCCTTTATTCAGTGCTGGTGAGACAACACCTGGAGCACTGTGTCCAGTTTTGGGCTCCCCAGTACAAGAGAGACATGGACATTCTGGAGAGAGTCTAGTGAAAGGCCACAAGGATGATTAAGGGACTGCAGCATCTAATATACGAGGAAAGGCTGAGTGAGCTGAGACTGTTTAACCTGGAGAACAGGCTCAAGGGGGATCTTATTAATGTATGTAAATACCTGAAGGGGGAGTGCAAAGAGGAGGGAGCTGTGCTCTTCTCAGTGGTGCCCAGTAGCAGAACCAGAGGCAGTGGGCACAAACTAAAACACAGGAGGTTCCCTCTGAACATCAGGAAACACTTTTTTACTGTGAGGGTGACTGAGCACTGGCACAGGTTGTCCAGAGAGACTATGGAGTCTCTATTCTTGGAGATAGTCAAAAGCTATCTGGATGTGGTTCTGGACAATTTGCTGTAGGTGTCCCTGCTTGAGTGGGAGGGGTTGGAATAGATGACCTCCAAAAGTCCCTTCCAAGCTCAACCATACTGTAATTCTGTAGAAAAATAAGATCTCTAAACTGACAGAAGTCTCTCACTGAAGTTATCACTTGTCTTGTATGTTTTTGCTCATTGGTGAAGCCTGCCTGACCCAGAAGTTGCTGTGAACAATGTTCAGCTGTACAGCTCCCTTTGCAACTGGCTCATGGGTGTATTGGCCAAGTGGAGGGAGGAGTAATGGATAGCAAACCTGAAGCCTGAATTGTCCTGCAGAGTAACTGTTCAGCACTCAGGTCTCACTAAACTGATGAGTAAACGAAAACCTACCAAAAAAGATTAAAACCTACTCTCTATATTGCCAGCCTTACACAGAAACGATGACCCTCACAAAGTTGCAAATAACCGTAATCTTTTGCATTTATTTCAGAGCTTTCTGAGGATTATTGCTCTCAAATTTTCCCTGGTAACAACAAGAGCTAGAAATAGATCTGATTTTTTGGGGTAGTTTTTGAACCTGTGATAATAAAATAAATTATTTGTCATCAGGAAAATGAGCTTTATAGAGAAACATCCACCACTGTCAGAAGCATAGTAAAATCATGACATTTAGTTCAGTTTCAGATTGTTCCAGTGACTATATCTGGTAGTTACAGTACATTCACATCTGAAACTGCTGTTACACCCCTGGTCGTTACCACTGGTTTTACTGGTAATAACTCTGCCTTCCACGGTTTTCTCCTTGTTCTACACTGGTGTTAATGTCTGTTAGGAGTGAAATTTAAAAGTATCTCTTAATCAATGTTCACTCAAGTTCACTGAAATGAAATATTGTTGACTCTCATAAGCCAGTTTTCGGAGGAGAAAACTTAAATTTACTTCTTGAGGGAAGGTTTGCCACTGGAGACTTGCTAGCAAGTTACATTCTTGTGGAAAACTGTATCCAAATCCTGCTGGTGAGGCATTTTATGGGTTTTGTGGTAGATTCATTTAAATATAGGTTTTCTATTGGTTTAAGATGAAAACAGTTTTACTGGCAACAGTTTGTTTATTTAATAAAATATCTGAATCCAAATACTGGTGTTTTGGAGAAAGAGGTTGCTTTTGTTTGTTTATAAATCAACAAAATTTGGTGAGGCAATTTAGTGAATAACACTGATTTCTTTGCTGCAGTCTGGGATTAGAGGTTTCTCATGTGCAGAACAAAACAGATATTTTTAATAAGATGATACTGGGCTTCTGAACAGCACTAAAAAACACTTAAATTTGCTGAATTCCTGGTTTAAGATGAATTTGTTAAAAATTTAATTCAGCTTTCAAGAATACTGGGAAAACCAGAGATGTATCTTAATTCACAAAATCTCACTCAGCAATGGTTGTATTACAGATTTATCACTGATTTTATCCAGGTAAACTAAATGCAATACTGACCGGAGAAACTGCCCTATTAATTTCTCAGCTCCTCCCACAAAATATGAAGAGATGGGCATTCATCACCCTAGTTAACTTGCAGCAAGATATTATCATTACTGCTGAATAATAAATGAACATTTGTAAATTCTTTTTGCTATCCTGAGCTTTTACTAGGTAATCATTTTTTTCATCAGTCTGTATGCAAAGCGGGCACTTACAGATGATTTACATAATATGGATATTAACCCTTTCTTGACGGATGAGCCATAGACCATGTTGTTTTGCTTTAGATCATCAATAAGGTCAGTGGAAAGATCTACTTCTTCCTCGGTTGTTTAGAGAGCCACATCCTGTCTCAGTATTGCTCTTGTTGTTGTACAACTTTGTTGGTTAAAGATGAAATGACCCCACTGTAGCATCATGGCAGAGATGTGACATTGCCCCAATACATAGTTTTGTGCAAGGAGAGCTGACTCATATTTGTTTTTCTTAATATCACTTTGGGTAGCTCTAAAGGAAAGTAATTAGTGTGACCCATTGATTTACTGAGGCTATATATTATTTCCATGTATCCTAAATAGGGCATTACTTTCTTCTGAATGAAGACATGAAGGGTGGCCCGTATAGGATGGGGGAATAGCAGAGCCTCCAATAGAGCCAATGTGTTTTCTCAATGCTTTTCTTTGTCTGTTGTCATGGAGAGTAGGCTGAGAGAGGCAGGCAGTGGTAGAATTAAAAAAAAAAAAAAAAAAAAAGAGAGAGAGAAAAAAGGGAAAAAGAGTACATGATGATTAAGAAGTCTGGGATTATTCATTCCTGGCAAAGCCTCCCCTAAATGTGTTGTTCAGGTCATCTCAAATAGACACCAGATGAGCACACGACTGCGATATGTGGTTCTGCACTCTCTGATACATGCTGCAAAGATCACTGGTTAGAGAAAGTTCTAGCTTTCGTAAACACTGACAGTAGTTGTCTCTTCCATTACTGTTTCCAGATAGTGTAGCTTTATTCACCTTTAATTCACATGTGAGAAGAGCCATCAAATCCTTCAAGAATACTATGAAATGGGGTTTTGTTTTCCTGAAAAGCTGGTTGGCTGGGCAGAGGGTCTGCATTAGGGATGTTCATAGCGTAGCTCTGCAGCAGATCAGGTAGCTACCAGCTTTGCATAGCAACGTTGTGGCTAGCGTATTAAACAATACATGACCTTATCCAGCATTTGTCAGCTGGAGGCTTCAAAACCTTCCTAAAAATAGAAAAAGGTGAATACTTTTGTTCCCATGCCTGAGATGTAAAGGTTGAGGCAAAGAGAAGTCAAGTGCCTTGTCCACAATCACATGACCATCCATCCTGTCTGGGGAGAATTTACTCCAAAAGTCAGACTATACATTTCTAATGACCTCTTTTTCGGTCTGTGGTCTTCTGTTTCAGTTTCATTTTCTATGTGTTTATGTGGGATGAAATATATAGACTGCAAATGAGTAAATATAATTCAATTGTGTTACTTTTTCAGTGACTAAAACGCTCATATATGGCATGGCAAACTTCTGGCTTATTTATGTTTTATAGTTTAGATAATCTTCTGGGTTTGTGTGATTTTTTTTTTTTTTTTTTAAGAAATATTATAAAACTCTTATATAGAGGGAAATATATCTCTGCATTAAATAAAAAGAGGAGGGGAAAAATCCCATTTTTTTCTTTTTCAGGATTTCTTAGAATGAAGTAAAGGACAATCAGACACCTGGCATGTATTTTTAATCTCCTCACATTTGCAAATCCCCCTCATGGAGTCTAATGAAGCATTAAAATGTTGGAGTCCTAACTTCTATTTTTGAACTTCTGAACAAAGAATACAATTCAGGCAAACATGTAGCAAAGTAGAAGCTGCTCGTGGGTGTGAAACAGGAAGCACTAGTAGATACACACATGTATAATAGAGTTACGTTTGCTTTTGCTCAACCAGATATACATCAATTTTAATTAGCACGTTTTATGCTTCAGCTACTAACGTCCCTTCAGCAGTGAGTGGGTTATGTGTTTCCATCCTGCATATACCACCAGCATCACCACCACGTCCTTCTCTAGCTTCCCCTCCCCTTTCTACACAAATGTTGCAACACAATCTGAAATTTCCTCTTTTCTTTCCTTCCTGCATTTCTTACAGGTTCCCTTGCGTCAGAAGACAAAAAAGAAAAGTCAAGGTAATGAGAGACTGTTTTTTCTTTTCTGGGTTCCTCTTTTGTTATTTTCTTAGTATGTCTTATTCTTGGGAGGGTGAGGATTTTACACTGCTACTCATCTGGTGGAAGGCTGCTTTTTAACTCCACTGATTCTTCCACTGATTCTGAGAAAAATGACAACGGGCTGTTCCTTTGGACTAAATCCTTGTGGTATGTTAATTGAATCAAAGCTGGAAATCAGTGAGGTAGAATCAGCTGCCTGCACATACACACACACACTAGCGGTTTTCACGTACTTGGCATAATAGTTTTCTCTAGCTGACTTAAATAGATGTATTCTTTTCAATGCAGCTATATGAAGGGAAATATATGCATGCTTGTCTGAAAAGGATCAAAGGATATATTTTTAATTTGCAAAAACTCATATATGGTTATCTTAGCATTAGTTAGTGCCTGCATTATCTATACCTTACTATTTTGTTTCTGCACATCAGAATGCCTTTCAAATGAATATGTGTTACTGCCACAGCCATTATAAAACTGAGTGACTTCTATGTATATTTTAAAATATGCTTGGATGACTTGCTGAGATTGTTAAGCACAGTTGATATCTTTAATTGGCAGCAACATCTTTCCTGGTAATGCACTTTTAAACAAGCAGAATACTGTATTTTTAATGGCACAGGGTTCTTCATAATGAGCCGACGGAGAATATCGTGTAAAGAGCTGGGGCAAGCCGATTGCCAAGGATGGCTCTACAAAAAGAAAGAAAAAGGAGCTTTCATTGGCAACAAATGGAAAAAGTTCTGGTGTGTGCTGAAGGAGTCATCGCTGTATTGGTACAGCAGTCAGCTGGTGAGTACAGTGTCCATCCTGCTCTGGGTGACGGACAAACAGCATCTGCTGGGGCTGAGATAAGGGGAATTGGGGTCACAATTTAAATTTAAATGCACCCTGGAGACCTACAAATGACTGGGTTTATTTCTCAGTCCTGACATTTCTTGTAATCTGGGAAGTGTCTATGTGAATGTGAAACATGCAGTAAACTATGTGTTTTCTAGTTCAGTAAGTACTTGTAAAATGTTACCTTGCTCTCTGTCCTGCCCTTTAAAGGGCTGCTCTTAGGCATTGCTGTCATTTGAATCTGGGAAAGGTTTTCCTGGGTTGGGCAGTTTGAAGAACTTGCTATCAAGGCTCCAAACAGGAATGCTTCTTTACTTCTAATTAGTTTAATTTTCAGAAGTGTCCCTCCTGCTTTTCTCTCTGTCTCCTTCCATACTGAGATTAATCTGTTTGCTTTTTTGTTTGAGCTTTTTTTCTTTTTTTTTTTTTTTTTTCTTTCATTTTTTCCCAGTTTGCACTGGTCAAGTTACAGGTATAAGCACTGTCAGTTGGTAGTGTTTTTACTCCTGGTCTTGCTGATGTCTCATCCAGAGCCCTGTAATTAAAGGTTCTCACGTTCTGCTGATTTTTAACTTCCTGCTCCAATGAGTCAATGCTAACAGTCAGATCTGCAGAACACAGTGTTTTGAATTCAAGGTCCAGCTTTCTGTTCAGAGGATGAGCTTTCCTCAGGACAACTGGTATAAATACTGTTTCTCATCCAGTCCAAGTAGCCTACTCCACTTACAGTGTGAGTGGGAAATAGAGACAAAGAACAGCAGGCCCTGAATTCCTGTGATCAGCTGAAGAACGAGGAATTAAAAATTGAAAAAGTGAAGGGGGTGGGGGGGAAGACATAGTGAGAAATCCAGAGTAACCCTTTTAATGAAAGGTTATGGGTGAGTGCCAAGAAGCAGTGAGTCTTAGGGAACAGCTGGTTTTAGGCTGTTTGCTACAGCTCAACTTGTCTGGGCAGAGAGGGTGTCTTGCATGTCCTAGGAAGATTCAGATGTAATTATTCCCTTCACTTTGCTCTCTTGCACTGCTGCCTCTAAGAAAGCTCCTATCATGTTCAAGTGATGGACTGACTGAGCCCAGAATTGGGGTGAGCAGAAGATTAGGGGATGCTAGCAGCAACATAGGTTGAAACTCGACAGCTTCAGTGTGGAATTGTGGATGGGCATCAGGTTTCCTAACAGCAAACAGTCTGCTCTGGAAATCATCATGTCCCAGGACTGGGAAAGGATGAAAGATTAAAGAAACCCTTATTAATTCTTAGAAAATTTTAGAAATTAAATGCAATATGGAGTTTCCTCTTGTTTATTTCTATTGCAATAATCCCCATTAAAAATATTGCTAACTGTTTCGAGGTACAAATAAAATAGTTTAAACCATAAAAAAAAATAATCCTAAACCCCTAAGCAAAATTTTATTCATATAAAGAGTATTTAATATTTGCCTTCATTTTTTTTTTTTTTTAATAGAATAAAAATGCAGACTGGCATTTAAAAATGGTATTAACTATTATTTTTTGGGGGAAAAGTGAAAACAACTCCGCTGGTCTTGGGCTGTTGTTTTTTGTGGTGTTGTGGTAGTCTGATTTAGCTTCCTTTCAAGACCAAGTCAAATACATGCATGAGAGAAAGCGAAAGAAAAGAAATAGGATAAGTAGAAAAAAAAAAAAAAAAAAGCAGCTTTGTTTTCCCAATGCTTGCAATATCTCTGCTTGAAAGACATGGCCTGGCAAATATATTCGTCACTGGCATTAATACCCTAAAAACCTTTATTAGCATTAGCTGCTCTAAATCACTGCTTGCAGTTGAACTTCTGGCCAAGCAGTGTTAAGAAAGGTGAACTGGCTGGCTGACGGGCCTTTTAGACATGGAAAGTATCAGAAAGGAATTCTGAGGAGTAATCAAGCTGGGAGGAAATAAAATGAGACAAGAATAGGCAAAGTTTGCCTTCCAGGAAGATAAGAGTGGTGGGAGAGAGGTACAAAGTCCTCCACTTCCTTTAGTCATTGTGGCCTGGCTAAATTCCACTCTTGGGATCCAGAGAAGCTGTTGTCATGCTGATCCCAGTGCTCCTAGAGAGCATTCATCATTTGGGTGAACTCATCCTTCTAGTCCATGTCACTGACTACCTCAAAATGAACAAGGCTGAGGAACAGGTAGCAGCCTCGTTCCAATTTATTTCATCTGCTCTAAAGAGCTCATATGTCTTCAAAATACTCTTGGTTTATGTCATCCCTGACTTCTCACCTATCACCGTTCTTGTAAACACGCTAGCTGATAACACCTTTGCTTGAAACTTCTGCTGACTTTCACACAGCATTTTACGTTAAAAACCAGAGGTTTATTTAGACAACTTCAAGTGTGGCCTCTGCATAACTGCAGATTCAGGCAATGTTTGCAGAATGGCAGTAACTATGGGGTGTGGGAAAGAGAGGTGTTCTTTGCTAAAATCTGCTTACTTAAATTGATGAGACCAGAGCCATACTCAGAGTTATATCTGAGAGGAATTAGACCTGTTGTGTTTTCACAGATATTTTCACCTCTAGATTGATGAAGCAGAAATAACAGTGACATATTCACTTGCTTGCTTGATATTTCTTTTTACTATCTGGCCTGGCTTTAATTCTGCTTGCACTTCCACTGCCTTCAGTGGAATTAATCTGAGGTCCCAGCGGAACATCCAAGATGCCAATCTTAAGTCCACAGCTGTGTTGAGAGAGAAGTCCTGCTCCTCACATGCCTGAGGCTTCCCATGATGGGCCCTCTCATAGAGGCAGAAGCCCAAGGCAGTGGCGGAGGAGTAGGGCTGAGGCCGAAGGAACTGGGGCATGCTGGCTGCCTGTAGCTCTGCCTGACCAGTTTCGTTCTTGTGAGAAATGAGTGTGTTTTGTTCGCGGCTGTGTGGAAACCGCAGTCAACCAGACACTGGCAACTGTAGCATAGCAACAGGGTGCTGGACCTAACCTTTTTTTCTAATGGAGATGGAGAAAATAGGGAGTGGGAGGAATTTGTACAAGAATGTGTGCTGTCCTGGATTTGGGTAGAAAACCTCAGCTGACATTGTGTTTTCGGTGAAGTCTGTCTTCAGACACCTCTGAAGCTCTGGATGTTTCTGTTGCACTGATTATTTTTCCTTCAAGCCACTCTGGTTCTGTCTTTCACATGAGGCAGACTGGGGGAGGCGATATAGGACACTTGTGGTGATATTTGCAGACAGTAGTTCCTTCAGTTTAACGCAAAATATGTTGTGAAAGCTACCGCTCAAAAGAGAAAAAATAATAAAATGCTGAGAAGGGTCGGAAACATCAGATCAGACACCCCAAGTCCAGCTTCTCCTTCACTGAAAGCAAATCCAAACTAGCTTTCAACCAGCTGGCTGAGGTACTGGGAGTGGTGAAGTTAGGGCCGCGGTGGTCTCAGCAGGCTTGAGTAGACTGCCCTGAAGCCTTTTCCCATGTATGCCTGCTCTTTCTACAAAACATGGATATCACATGAGTCAGGTAAACTTTTGTTTGCAGCATGGACTTGCCCCCTATCTGGGAAGGGGAAGCTGTTTGGACTATGAAGAAACACAGAAGGGTTGGTTTTGCAATGGAAACACAGAAAATGCCAGAAAATGGATCTGAGCAGTCAGGCTTTCTGGGTGCATTCAGGAACACCAGACTCCTTGGACAATTGCTCTTTGTTAGTATTTGGTCTCCTCTTTCAATTACTGCTCTCTGTAGGGAACTGCCTTGAAGACAAGTGTTTAAAGAGGACAGTGTGTGATGCTGCCTGCCCCTTTAGCAGTGTTAGTTCTCATACCGAAACCCTGGAGAGAATCAATACTCCTGTGTAGGAAGAGGGTGGAGGGGGAAGATCATCACTTTTAATCCCGGGCTCCTGGCTCCTTGTGCTTGTTGCGACTGTGTTGGATAGTGTTGGCTGGGAAGGGACAGAGGACTAAACACCTCTGTCTTGTGGGTCTTTAGGATAGCTTGGCTGGTTTTCCAAGTAGAGTTGAAATACAGTTTTGCAGGATGTGTTAAGGATGGTTGTCATGGGGATTCAGCTGAAAAGAAATATAAATATAAAATCAAAGGGTTGCAGGCTGTGATCTACTGTCACTATTTATCTTCCCCCCCCCCACCACCCTGTTCACTGCATTTAAATTGGTCCTCACTCCCAACAGCTTTGCCAGGAGCTATATAATTGCAGTCTTTTAAAACAGAAACCTTTCACCTTTGAATTATAGTAGCTGCTTACGTGAATGACAAAAAGTCACTGATGTCAGCTGATTATGCTGAGGGCTTTGGGGACCTCTAGTCCAATATCTTACACAAATTATTTGCAGTTTTATAGGTTGTCTCACTGGTAGAATTTGCAGAAAGAAAAAAAGACTAAAAAGGCTTGAGGACTGAGCTGCTCCTCCAACACCCACAGGGTCTTTTGAGAGGCAGTGATGAAACACTGGGGTGAAGCCATGAGGAGCATCCTAAATTGCAGATTGAAGCTGTTCCACAATAACTAGATATTTTCACTTTACAGCACTACTTTAAAATAAATCTTTCTGCACCACTGCATTCACTTTAAATACTGAAAAAGATCTATTAAATGATTTACTAAATCTCCTAATGTCACAACATTTAGACAATGTATTGAGGCAAGCTAAAAAGGACATTAGCCTTTTTCCTTGGATTCATGCATTATGTTTCCTAATATGCTTGAATTTTTTTTTGAGTAAAAAGGTTTTTCTATGAAAACATGTTTACTTTCTCTTTGCCCCAAACATTTGCAGAGACTGTTGTTATTAATGAAATTATTTTCCTACAATTGAGCATAGCAAAAAGTGCAGATATATATGTTAGATTAACCTGCATAAAAACCACAAGAGAGAACAGATTATTATTTTAAACATCCTGATTAAATAGGAAACAGGTCAAGATTCTTTTAATCTTTTAGGTCTATTTTACAGCATTGCAATAAAATTTGAAGGAAGTTTGAGTGAAACGTGTGTGTTAAATAATATCATGCTTAACGTCACATTACAGATAACATTCCAGAGAAAAGAAAACACTTAGAACTTCTATACACTTTTATGGTTTTAAAATGTCATTTTTATTCCAAGAATGACCGAAAAGATGACTTCCACATGTCCTGTTCCTAGTGTTTATTTGGAATTCTATTTGCTGACTGTAATAATGCTCATAAGATTTTACTGTTATGATTTGGTTTCCTTTTTTTCCTTTCTTTTTTTTCTAATAATTATGGAACTATGTACCCATCAAACCCCTGTTTTCTGCTACGTAGATGACCCTTCTGAGATGTGTATCAATAGCGCATAAAAAAAAAAAGCAAAACCAAACCACACCATTATCCTTCTTTCTTTCACTCAGACATAAAATGAAACATTAAACTTTTCTTATAAATGAACAAATCTGAAATCATTGATAGAATAAATATAAATCCTGAATGCATCGAACATAATCTTTTACCAACCGGAACATGCTAAATACTGTATAAGAAATCTGGAGATTTCTCCGTTGTAAAACTGGTAAATGTAAATTACTGAAATCAAAGCCTACAGAACTATTTTCATTAGAAAATAAATCAGAGGAGAGTACTCCTCTAATTTAGATACTTAGTGGATATGTCAGTGGTTCAAGTCCACATTCCATCTTTGCATGGGTGGAAGCTCCCCAGGTTAGTGTCCTCACACTGGCTTACAGAGTCCTGATAATTCATTAGTCCAATACAAAATTCAAATGCTCAAATATTTGTATACATTGATGGTAGAGACAGTGACTTATCTAATGGTATTGCATGGACTTAATTTCCTCATGAGTGCTTGTGCAGCACCCTAAGCAATTTATAGGATGTAGTCTAGACCACTGGCTCCTACACCAATAGATAAAACTGGCAGATCTGTGATTGCATTTGTAACGTATAAGGCTAACCCGACCCAGGCCCCAGTCACCCACTCACCCATCTGATGTCTTACCCAGCTCAAGCCATGTTTATTGGTGTGTTGGTGAGAAGGTACCTGGGTATACCCTTTCACACAGGGTCTTCTGGATCTCTTTTTTTAAAACTGGGTTTATTGATTCATACTGCAGAGAAACAACTGGCATTGTACATGTTTCTCATCTAGCAATGTGTGTAATAATGGCCTTGATACCTCATGAACTGCTTTTTTAAGGTTGGTCTCTGGTGTTCTTGGACTGGTCTTGGGAACCAAACAGGAATTTTACTGTTCTTGCTGCACGTGGTCTAGTAAGTGACCACTATTCCTGGTACAAAAATGCAGAATAGTACCTTCTGCATCTTTAGTGCAATGGAGTCCATGAATAGAGCTCCTCCTTTACTCACCCCTACTCATTTGCTTATCCCTATATACTTGGTGTACTATGGATCTGGGATAGAAATACTAGCTTAAGGTCTAATTTATTGAAATACAGTTCTAAAAAAAAAAAAAAGACTTAAAAAATATTGTTACTTTTTTTCTTTAGTTAATTGTTTGGTGTTTTTTTTTTTGTTTGTTTTTGTTTTTTTTTTTTTTAATCTCAATGAGTCTAGTCTCACTAAATCCCAACCTGTGGAATGGAAACAAAAGCTTACCAAGCCAGTTTGTAAACAAGTTTGACAGATGCAAATATAATCAGAGAAAGTTAAAAATCCACAATAGCAAATAATCACTTTTTGGTATAAATGAAGCCACGTTGCAATATTAAAGTTTTTTTCAGCCCAGATGCTGATAAACATTGTTTCTTCTGTAAAGAAAGAAAATAACAAAAAAGCCCCCTTCCACTGAAGCTTTTGTTGTTGTTGTTGTTGTCCTGGAGCAGGCAAAGCCCTTTACTGGTGAAGATGCAAAATATAAACCTCCCATATGAATATTTAATACATGTAAATTGCAGTAACAGTGGTTATGCCATGATGCATTGTATAGCAAAGAACAGCTATGCAGAGGTACAGGGAAACCACCTACTGAAATATCCATTCTGTATCCATATTTCGGTTCTCAGAGATTCATACTTTCAAGCATTAAAGCTCAAAGGCTTGTCTTAATGAACATAGACTATATTTTTACAGTCTTTTCATATTCATAATGTGACTTGAGATGCTGTCAGTCATCTTCATTTATCCTCTGTCTTTGTCATTGTTGTGTATATTTTACCTGCTTTAACTCGGTGTACGTTTTCAGAATTTCAATGTGCCCAGGGATAAGAGCTGGGAGCAGCAAAAAAGTGATTCAGGAATGAACACTTTCTGTATTTTGGAAAGTATAGTTTTTCCTGACATTACATGCTACAGACTTTTGTCTACATTATTGCTCCTCTTAGGAGGAGTCCTGGTCTTATTGTGGCTGATTGGGTGCATGCAGATAGCTGTAGTAAGATGTAAGATGTTTCAGCTGCAGGCAGCAGCAAGAACAGGGATTTAAGGCCTACTGATAACTTCAGTTTTGCTGGAACCACTCTCTGACACAGAGTCCAGCTGACCCAGAACAGAGATGCCAATGCTCAGTAAAACCCGTCCTGTCCAGAAAGGGGTGACTGCATCTGAAGAGTGTACTTTAAAGGTCTACCTGGCTTTTTCTACCTCCTGAACCATGCCTGCAAATTTCTGGGGGAGTGATAGCTGGGTGGCCAGAGCTGTTCAGGACTGGATCAGTGTTTAACAACAAAGCTCATCTGCATGGCACCATCCCCTTGCACCATTTCACCTCCTGGTGTGGGAACAGCCAGTATCACCTCTGCCTTGCTCATATACAGGAGTATGCAGGTGACCCTACAAAATGGTCAGTGTTACAGTTACCCAGGTGTCCTGCTTTGGACTGGAGTAGAGTTAATGTTCCTTTTTGGTACCTACAATAGTGCTGTGTTTTATATTCAGCTTTGGGTTGGGTATGAGAAGAATGCTGATAGCACATTGATGTTTTCAGCTGCTACTGAGATTTCAAGGACTCTCCAACTCCCCATGTCCTGCCCGTGCACAAGGGCACAAGAAGAAGGGAGGGAGCACGGCCAGAGCACCAGACCCAAATTGGCCAATGAAATATTCCATATCATGGAACGTCATGCTCACTATATAGAGGAGGGGTGGTCGGGAAGGGGGGCTCTCTCTCTCTCTCACTTCTGGGATCGCAATTGCCGGATCTTGGTATTTCAGGATCGCTAGCCGGGAATGGGCTGGGTATTGGTCAGCGGGTGGTGAGCAATTGCATTGTGCATTGCCTGTTTATATTTTCTGTTGCTATCACTGTTTTAATTTTATTACCATTATTAAACTGTTTCTATCTCAACCTGTGAGTGTCCCTTTACCCCTCCAATTCCCACTTCCATTCCCAGGTCGGGGGGAGGGTGGGTGATCAGCTGCAGGGTGGTTGGCTGCCAACCAGGCCCAAACCATGACACCAGGGGACAGTCCTCTCTGCCTTGGATCATTTGGGGTCACTTTTCAGTTCCCATTGCTATAGACATATATTTTTTAAATACGCCTATATCATTATATGTGTTGCTATTATGCATCTGTGTAACACACATGCATGCTGTATAATGGAACAAATGCTCCTTTGAGATTGTATGTAACATCCAAATCTGAGCAGATGATATAACCCTTACTTGTTTTTTCTTATGTCATCTGTCTCTTGAGAGGCTTCCGTGTTTAGAGCTGATTCAGTAGTTTCATTTTCTGTGGTCTACACACAAAGCGTGGCTGGCCAATTTGTTCAGAGAAGTTGTGTGATCATTGATGGCTGCAGAGTGACTGGGTTACTTCACCTTCCTGCTGTTTTTAGTCCTGGCTTGATCCAAACCTAAACTTTTCCCCTGACAGTTTCCAACTCTGGAATGTACTTATGACTTAATCCTGAATCTTAGATAAGGGTGCACTGATACAAATGCTCTGAGTTAAGGAGGAGAGGGAATCTATCTCAGCACTGTTGTAGGAGTTGAGCAACCTTTCTCTTTCAGGCACTTTGATATTTGGGAAAGTATAACAAATCCTATGCTCATACTCTGCCACTTGCACAGACAGGAGTGTTTGCTTTCTAGCATCCAGGACTAGCACAAATAGTAGGTGGTATAGGAATATTTTTTGTTCCCAAATATCATCCAAAACATTGGGTGTTAATCTGTCCCCATGGTGATGAGCATATATTTTCACACTATAAAAGGCTGTCAAAAACAAGCACTTGCATGTTAAATGTCGTCAAGCATTGGAGTCTGGTAGTTTACCAACTGGTTGATGTGGTGGGTTTTTTTTTTTCAGGCTGAAAAAGCAGAAGGATTCATCAGACTTCCAGACTTCAGTGTGGACCGAGCAATTGAATGCAAAAAAAAACAGTAAGTTTATTTCTTGCCTCCGGTTTTGCAGGATTTTTACAATGTTGCAAGGAATTCAATCTTGGTAGTGCTTGACAATGAAGCTGTAGGAAGCTCTTCTGTGTTGTATAAATAATAAGATATTAATTGAGCTACTGAAAGAAAATCATACTGCAAAAATATTTTTGAAAATTCTTTGCCAGATGTGGTCTGCTACAAATAAAGAAGTAGATGAAAATGCCAAATGATTTTTTTTTTCCTTTGTTCATTGATTATGAATAAGTTGTAATCTACCTTAGATACCTTCTCTTAGGTGGAGAGGTCAATAGTGGTGCAAGTAATGCTGCACCCCAAGTCAGGACTGGTTTTTAGGCTACTGTGGTGCAGCTGAGCTTGGGCTGTACTTGAAGCCTCTGATTGTGCAGGGAATAAAAACCTTGTTTAGCTGGGTACATATTTCAAATATTTCCTCCAAACTCTATATGCAGCACTGGCTTCCTGCTGCTTCTGAGTATACTCCAAAGGTTTGGAGGGGTGTTGCTGATGTTCAAAGTTATAAGTCTCATCATGGTTTTTATTCTGTCCCTTAAGAGAAAGCCTTCATTTTTCTGTTTGGGTCTCACGCTGACATTAGCTGTATGTGTTCTTGAGACTAACTGTGGGCTTGACTCCTCCTTGAATAGGGAACAGCTATTTTGAATATGGGGAGCTCCATTTTGTTTACTCAGAGGAAAGGGTGAGTCATATAGTACAGGACCACAAGAAAATGTTGCCCTTCACTTGTGCGACTGTTGGCTGTCAGTGACTGGGAAGAAAACACATGCTCATCATTTATTTGGGGTGGGGTAAGTTAGGAGAACTGAAAGGAGTGACGAGGGCTGCTGGGGCCCAGTCAAACAGTGTGTGCTTCCACAGGACAGTCACCTAATGAGGAACTAAAGAGGGAAGCCACGCAGTCTCAGGATCACAGACTATGTTTTAGGAAAAAAAAAAATAATTCTGAAAAGTCTTACTGTTGGTTATTCAACTAAAGAATAGTTGGGGGCTTAGGCCGACAGGTCAACTATTGGGGGTAGTCAGGGAACTACATCCATTTTGTTTGTTTCAAACCTGCCACCTAGTTGCCTCTTTGGTGCCTCCTAAAACTTGTCATGGAAAAGACAGTGAAGAGTTGGTGCCTATTCACCTGCTGTGTGCTGCTTGTGATTTTATTGTATCATATCTCCCTTCCCTCAACCATCAGTTTCCCATGATGTGGGTCTTAGCCTGATTAATCACTCATGGAAGCTGTTCCATACCTTGGGTCACTCTTGGTGCTTTCTTTGAACCTTTTCCAGGCTTACTATGCTCTTCTGAGCTGGGAGAAGCAAAGCTGCACACAGTATTGAATATGTGGGCAAACAAATGAATTATGTAATGGCATAATGAAGGTCTTTGTTTTATTCTTTATTCCTTCCTTTTTAGTTCCTATAGTTTATATCCTCTGAATAATGGGTGGCCTAGCAAATGAGCTAAAAATAGACTAGAGTTTTAAGGAAAGGGCTATATGGATGGATAAACTGATCTGGATTAATATAGTAGAGGAAATAAATATAATAATTCATCCAGCTACTTTTTCTTTTCTTATGTAAACTAGTTTTCTTCATATCTCTTCTATTTTTTCTTTTCTTAAAGTGCTATTAAGATCAGCCACCCACAGATCAAGACATTTTATTTTGCAGCAGAAAATGTTCTTGAAATGAACACGTAAGTAGGAGCGACTGGCCATGTTTCATCCTGTCTCATGCCTGAGAACACCCTTTGAGTTTATTCTTTCACTGTCAAGCGGTTATTGACAAAGTTATTCGGGGGAGATTACTGAGTCTGTTTTGTTTTCTGGTCATTGTACAGAAGGAAAATACCGCTATTCATTCACTAATGACAGTTGAAATCAGAATCACATTATTAGCCTGATTTTGATTCTAATCTTCCTGACATTTGCTGGTATAAATCTCTTTCTGTCAGAGAGGTGGAAAGATTTGATAGCAAGCTCATCACCTTGGGAGAAGTAAGGGAAGAAATGAAAGAGAAGGAAAATCCCTAAAATAGTTTTGTCCCAGAAGTGATGTAGGACTAGAAGATAATAGTGTCTGCTTTCCGAGTAGCATGTCAGTTAACAAGGAGGGTTAAAGGGATACAGGAGCTATTTCTTTATTGTAGGTAAGCATTTACTTCACCACCAAACTGCATTGCAGTTAAACAATCCTCATGGCAGACCAGACATTTGCTGTGCCCAAATATCTGTAAAAACAACAATTCATCAATACAGTTTTAAATTCAAGAAGTAAAAATGAATACAAATACTTCCATTCTAGAAATGCTATCAGAAATAGGTATTACTTGCTGTTGATCCAGTTTTTGCCGGATACATCTCATCTTCTTTGTCTTTTTTAATTCAGATTGCAATCTGTTCACAATGCTATTGCACTAAATGGCCAAATATTGGATACAAAGCAGTACAATTTAAATGAGAAGAGAGCTCATAAGATAGCCAGGTCAGGATTTTAATCATGGCTCTGCTGGTGATCCTTGTGAGAATCTTCATAGGGCATTGACTGTTCTTTCATTCTATAAACAGGAGACCTACCTCATACGTATTTACCACAACAGGAAAGGATAGAAGTTGAGAGGACGTGTGTGACCTTACAAAAGGGCTACAGATGTAGAAATGTACAATGCTACAGTAGTGTACATACACAGATAGAGTTTCATAAATCGGTACTGTATAGAGTTATACAAGCAAATATAGATGGAAAGAACATTTTGCTCTTTGCAGCTTGGAGCAGCACAGAACATACTGGTGGGGACATACCCATCCATTTCTGTATTTCTGCATTTCCTACCAGAGCTCCTGAAAGGAGTGAGAAGTTCTTGAGGCAGATGGGCCGAGGGTGACTGAGAATGAGGGACTGCCGGACAGGAATATTTCTGTAGAGAGAGTAACCCTGGTTGAGAGAGAAGAGACGGAAGGATATGGGGAGAAGGAAAAGGAAAATTAGAGCTAATGGAGGATGTTAGTGAGTTCTAACAACCAGTTTGGAGTCCAGCTGGAAATTCTCAATGTCTTAATGACAGTTTTGAAATGTTTAGTCTCATGTGAGTGAGTGATTGAAATCTATGCAGGTGTCCCAGCTCTTATGCCCCCAGAATGATTTTCTTCAAACTCCACCTCTCAAGTAAATTTCATCTTGGCTTAAAGCTAGGTAGCCTAGCGTTAGAGCAACTTGCACTGTACTGCACTAATACTAATTCCTCACTGTTGTAACTGACGATGTGTTCCTTGGCAAAGTATAAAATACATGTATTTAATACATAATATACACGCATACTCACGCATATGTCAAAACAGACTAAAAGACATCTGTCCTCTTGGCTCCAGTCCCACAAATACATATGCATGTGAGTGGTTCCACTGAACTCAATGGGGCATTCGCATGTGTCGAGTTACTGGTGTGCATAAATGCTTGACAGATCATGACCTTTTGTAACTCTTCATGCATATATATCTATTAAATCAACAGTGGATTTATTAATACTGTCGTTTGCTTCATTAATTTAGCATGCATTTGCTATTGTCACGCACACATGCAAAGTAAATGTGTGCTGGCTAGCTGTGTGCATTTACCTGGCCAGCTGCACACAGTTACTAACAGTCTGTTTGACCCTATGGTTAATGAAGTCCTGGATATTTTATCAAACTTTTTATTTTGTTAAGATTTTTTTTTTAAATCATTCTGTTATGATTAACTGTTAGAAGAAAGTCAATAATCCACTCTTATAGTTATGACACTTTGTTTTCCTGAATTATGTGGCTCTATTGTTCATACTGCAGTCTAAAAATACAGTTACTTTGACACCGATCGTACTAGCAAATTTCCCATTGCTTCAGTAGAACCAAGGTAAGACACAATTTTTTTTCAGAGTTATGCATCTTCATTCCTGCCCTTCACACATTCACTATTTAGGCCTTGAATTTTAATCTGAAAGGCTTGAGCTTTTTTAGTGATTTGTTTATTAAAACCTGGATAGAATAAAATGGCCTACAGGCAAACAAAATATACAAAAAGTATATCTAGGGATTGTTTCTAGTACTAAAAAAATCCAACCACCTAGGAAGAGAAATTTAAAAACCCCAACCTGGTAATAGTTTAAAGCAATGCAGGAAGTGAGACTTACTAAAAACAAAAGTACATAGGGAGTTGAAGCAAGCAATGTATAATGGTTAGAAAGTCTGGTTTTAAACAGCTTAGATTCTTAGACTGTGCTGCGATATTGGCCAGGGCAGCTGACACCATCTTCTATGGCTCCTACGCCTTTTGCTTCATCTCAGGTGAAAGATGCCCGCTCAAGAGCAGAACTAAGCCATTGGCATTGTGTAGCACACATACTTTTCTTTTAGCTTCCATGAATACAATTCCTTGATCATCAGTAGTGCTTTTTTCAGGACCAGGGAAAGATGATGTCCCAGGAACTAGTCCTGCTCACCACAGAGAATATTAGTATTCAGGTAACTGGTGCCTTTCTAGAAGATGGTCTAAGGAATAGAAAGAAACTGACATTTAGTCTTCAGGTTAATGAAAATAGATGTGGTGATGTAGAACATATCTGAAAGGGCCAAAACTCTGCCTGAGCAGCATGAAAGTATCCCTAACTATATTCCCTCTGTTTTAAATGCAGGTGGCTAAGTAAGCTGGGGATGGCTGTAGACCCTCAGGCACCCAATGGGAAGAATGAGGAAGGTATGCTCTTACCCGTGGTTTCAGTGTGTAACTACATCATGTTCAGCACAGGTTTTACTTGGCCAAATTTTTGTCAGCTCTTTTCTTTCTTTTAAACTGTCAACTTGGGTCCGTCTACACACTGAGCTCAGGGAAACCGCACTGACACAGCACAGAGTAATTACAGAAAAAGAAACAATGGTGAGAAACAGTGCCACTGAGAGACGCTCGGTGATCTTGTGAGAGGTGTGTAACTACTTTCTGGCAGTTTGCTGGCTTGCTAAGCCTACCAAGTGCAAAGAGAAACAGCTGTGATGCTCTGGCTTTTGAGCTGGTAAGGTGTTTTACAGGAGTTGTGCTATGACCCAGGAGCTGTCTAGCTTGGGAACATCTTGTACATTGTAAACCTGTCCCTAGCGTCTCCTTCATTCCTAGGGGTTTCAACAACAACAGTGTTGGGAGGGGTGGTAGTGGTGTACTGAATTCCCTTCAGAGCTCAACCCAAGAGTTCATTCTGGAATTAATAATTTTAGAAGTTGTCTAGCAATTTATTTATTGTCTTAATTTCAACACTGACCTAATAGAACTCTTTGAAGGGAGAATAGTGGCACTTGAATCACAAATCTGGGCAGAGGACAAAGCAAGTCACCTGCCAGAGTGCTTGGAAGAGCTTCTGGTGAGGACACATGCTGGGAGCTGGTTTAGAATGGGAAGTGGGTAATATTATGTTAGCAAACCATGAATGGACTCTGAGATGAGGAATGTGTATCATCTTCTGGGCTTTTGACCCTCCATTTTTAGAGTATTGGTACACAGTGCTTTTTTTTTTAGAACTGTTCAGGTTGTGAAGGAGCTGTCATTATGAAGAAGAAATTGGTATTTGTAGCAGTATGAACACTTACATGATGCAGCCTGTTTTGTCTAAGCACTGAAATGCTCCTCTCTGCATCCCTTCTGCTGTTTTCCAGAATAAGGTTGTGGTTTATGTCCAGGCTTTGGATATGCAATTCCATTATTGATTAGTATGATCTGGCTTCATTTATACTCTGCCATTAAAAGCAGCGTTGGGGCTGGTAAACATAGATACCACCAATTTCTGGAGATTCATCAGGTCTCATCAATTTTTCTGTTTTCAGTTCATGGTTCCTCTTTATTTCTTGTGAGGAAACTTGTTAATTCCCATACCCTCAAATTCCTCCAAAATGCCTGAGTCCTCTTTGGACCTAATTTTGTAACAAAACAGCCTGAAATAATTAGGATAAAGTGCTATATTGAGTATCAGGCTGTGTAGCAAGAACTGCATGGCAATTGTACTCAGGGAGGAAATGTCAAAAAATGTTGTCCATGTTTTCACAAAGGATTTTGATGGAAGAAGAGGATGGTCAAAATTCTATACATTAAAACATTTTTTTTTCTTTTAAAGCCTCAGAAAATGTAGTATTTGTTGTGTTGGCTGAGTTGAGAATAATAAAACAATCCAAAACAAGTCAGCCCACTAATCTTAATTAAAAAAAAAAAAAAAAAAAAAAGACAGAAAGATACAAAATAATCCACTGAATAACCTCTGCAACAGGTTTTCTAATTACCCTGCAATAAACATAACATAGCCAAGGTTTCTTCAGCTGTTGAAACTGGTGGCCCATTTTCCCCTTCAGAAAAAAGCACTTTAATTCTGGTGTCAAATACCTCCTCCTCTTCTCACGTGTGTTCTGTCACAGGTGCTCCAGCTGCTGTGCCTGGATGTGCCTGGGTGGACGAGCCCTTGCAGAGGCACTGCTACATTTCAGAAAAATGCTGTCATTACCCATAGCCACTTCTGTTTCTGCTGACCTGGTTCTCCCCTTTATATCACACATCATAACTCTTCAGGAGGGTCTTGGCTCATTTTATGGCAGTTCTTGTGTATTCATGTACTTTCTATGCATTTTAACACTCCCTCAGCCCCATTTGCCTATTTAGAGTATCAAAAACAGCTGTTGATTCTTTTTCAGTTTTTCTGTGTGCCTAAACAGGGAGCTGTAGAAACAATAAGCTCTTTACTAAGAGCTATTCAAGAAGGCATTAATAGAGCCTTAGAATTTGATATAAACCTTATTGCAGCCAGTCTCAGTCCTTTATGCTAAAATGTGCCAGCACATATTTCCAGTAAACAGAATAGCAGCTATGCTATTAAAAACCCTATAATTCTGCAAAGAGTATGGGGAGAAAAAGTCATGAAACTTTGTTTCACTTTGTTCACAACTTAGGAACCTCTCTCTTGCGTATAAAATTATTTTCTCTTAAAACTTTGTTCCCCTTGTTCCACTCACACTGTGGTTACTAACCATTCCCCCACCAGCCCCAGGACATGCACACAAAAAAAAAAAAAAAAAAAAAAAAAAAAAAGCTCGTGTGTGTATTAATTTAGTTCAAAGATAAGATAATCACAGGTGATTTCCCAGAGACTCTGCTAACACACTACTTTCTAGTGGTGTGAAGCCATGAAGTCCAGCTTTTGCAAAGTACTCCCAGAACATAAACAACTCTCGCCTGGTTGAGGAGAAGAGTGAGAGGGTTGTTGCTTCCACCAGAGAGACCCAGGGGCCCTCGGACAGCAGAAGCTGCTGCCTGCAGCAGGAGGAGGGAGAGGCAATGCAGAGCGCCGGCTCCCGCGGAGGCCACAGGGACAGGCTCTGCTCTTGTGACACTTGGCACTCGTTCGTGTTGTCCTCATTGAGCTCTGACTATGTCTTTGCAAACTCTCCTGGCCCCAGCTCAGTCAGCGGGGGAGTGAGCACTGCCGCCCTTCACACGCGGCGCAGGGCAGGGTGCACGCACTTGCTCCTGTAAGGGTTGGATGTGAGAGGCCGATGCGTGCTGGGAGATTTAGCAGAGGGAAGTGATCTTCCACTGTGGTTACAGCCAGGCCCTGGGAATAGGAACCAGCAATTTACTGCCTCCCCTTTTCTATGTCTCGTTTTATCAATGATTATCACTTCATTTAATCCATTTTTAAAAAGGATCTGAGAAAATTATTTCACCTGCCACACAGGTAGTTGAAAGAAATAAGAACATGACTGCTGCTCTGCCACATGTCAAGGGATACTGAGGTTCTATCAGCTTGCTTTATATATATATATATATATATATATATATATATATATATATAAAAGGGTCAGTGGGGCATATAGTCCTAGAGTACTGTGTTTACTTTTAGCACTAGCTCTGGATGTGTACTGGCATGCTGCGTGGCCTGTCTGTGTGAGATGTCATGTGGTGACAGAAGACTTTCATGAGGCTACTCTATGGTTTCCAAAGCACCATGCGAGCTATCTGTGTTCTCCAAAATTGCAGCCAAACCACCAATGTCTGTTGCCAGTTCCAGGAAAGCTTACTGGTTACAGAGATTAAGGAACAGCATCTGCTTCTTGCAGCAGATCTCCCTGTCTTATACTACAAATGATGCAACCTTTCCTTTACAGGATTCTGAGAGGAAAAAAAAACCCTCCCCAAATCTATTTGTGAAGCTATCTAGAGCAGTGCCACCTAGTGTTTCCTGCCATAGCAAATTCTTTTGCTTAAAAAAGAGATAAAACGTTGCCATGAAGTAGTGTAGCATTACCATAAGTGGGTTAATTTTCACTGTAGGAGACACTGACTTGTTACAGCATAGTCCTCAGCCCAGAACCATCCTACTTGGTGATCTTTGGTTAACACAGCACAGCAAGGAATAAATGAGTGTTGGTCTAACACTTCGGTTTTGCTCATTTTCCATGTCTGCCTCAGAATGCTACAGTGAAAGTGAACATGATGATCCAGAAATAACAGACACACCACCTCCCCCCTACACAGTCCAGCTACCACCTCCTCCTCCGGTAAGTGTCACAGTAATTAGCTTGTTTCTTGTTGCTAGCCAGTTGGAACAAAACTTTCTTGAGGTGGTGGACCTTTGAGGAATAACTAAAAACAGGGGCTGGAAATGTTCACGCCACATGCCTGTGAAATGAGGATGCACTGATGGCCCCTGCCCTGTGGCAGAGCACGCGGGGATTGCAGCCCGCGCCGCTGGGGGCCTCGCAGTGTAAGAGAACAGCTCCTTCGGATGGAAGTATATTTATCTTGCTGGAGAAAGGAAGGTGTCACTCTACCTCGTACACATGCTGTGTTTTTTCTTTACAAGGTTTTTAACACACTGCCGTAACCTAGTTTTTCATACTATTCTTTTTTTTTTTTTTTTTTTGATCAGACCTAAATCTTCTTTCTTTTTGTGATCCTGGTAGCATCATCCAACAGATTTATATTTATTTGTGTGAGTTGTTCTCAAGACTGATGAATGTGAAGCTGCTTTTGTGGCAGTGGAGAGATGCCTCTTCTCACAGTGATAAAATTGGTTCTTTACTTCTGAAAAATAGACTATAAAAAAAGAAAATAGGCAGCCTCCCAAAATCTATGCTATTTTTCTCTCTTGCTGTAGAGTATTTGCCCAGAATATTCCTTCTTGCATTGCTTCATTTTGTAAATTATAATAAGCACTACATACCCTCATGTGCCTAATCAAATTGACTCGCCTAATTATTAGCCACTTATCACCCTGTTAATCTTGTTTCTATATTGTTGCTTTTCCCAGTGATCTCATCTCCCCTTACATGTGCTTTAAGATACCAGATTTACTTAATACTGTGTTTAGAAATGAGTAATCTGGTTTGGGGTGGTAATGCAGATGAAATAAGGAATCCCGAGTTCAAGCCTTTCCCTTCCCCAGCTGAAACTTAACATTGAGGGCTAAGCAGTAATATGCTTAGTACTAAATCATCTCATTGCATCTCATAGAAGGGAAGAGTCTGCTGCCTCACTGGTGCGGTACAGGTTCTTGTACGGCATGCTGAAATGACATTCAGTATCTGGGGTTGGCACAGAGGCAGCAAAGCAGGAACAAATTTGAAATATACAGATGAGCCAGAGAAGCTTATGCGGTCACAGGCAATAATAAAAGGGCATGAACAGGGTTGCCTGTCCGGCAATCTTTAATTAACTCACATAAAGCTGGAAGCGTATGTCACACTGCCACCCACTTACCCCGTCCTGTTTCAGGCAGACAAGTCAGTCTTCACTTCCCCTCCTGAAACAGTTGTGTAATGTTAATCACAGTAAACCAGTCTGCCTGGCACTTGGGGGGTGCATGGTGTTCACTGCTGTGTAAAACATAGTTCTTTATTGCCTGCATTAACTGGAAGTTAAATGTGGCTGAGTGGCTAAAAATATCATAGAAAATAGGAACCTTGGCAATACATCTCTAAGAGTTATTCTGGGCCGAGGTCTGATAATGAAGCTTCTTGAATTTTATACCTTAGTGCCTTGCCTTTAAGAGGCTGTAGATGTCTTTTCCATCTGCTCACCTCTGAGTGAATGTGTGCATTTTTTCAGATGATGAGGTATAAACAGGTGATTTTTTTTTTAGTTTTCTGTTTTTCTGGCTTCCTGCTGCTTGTCAATCTGTTGCTGCAGAGGCGATCTCCGGTTGTCTCCTTCCCATATGCTCCTCTTGAGTGTTGGCCCCCACATTTTAGCAGGGGACACGTGGGAGGCAGGCAATGGTGCAGGTGCCGAGGCATCCTGCTTCCTCAGTTTTTCCCTTAAAGGTTATCTTCCCTCTAGCCTTTACCTCTCTCAGCTGATTTCCTTTCTCCTCATCCCCAGTTTAAAATCCCTTCCCCCATGGATACAGGTTAGTGTCTCCTGAGCAAAATTTTCACCCCAGAAATGCAATAAGCTCCAGCTGCCATGGGTGATCTGCCCTATGCTCAGCTTGCTTACATGGCGGGTAGGAACAGTCAGGTATCAGTGCAGGGGTGTTTGACTGCAAATCAGAGTCTTCTTTTAAATATCCAATTTAATGACCCTTTCCCTTCTGGACCAAGTACTGGAGTAAGAAAACCACTGGAAGGACTGGAAAAGCACAGCTTCTTCTAGAAAGTCAGTTCTAGGATTGGAGCTCTTGGTTGTCTCAGGGAAGACTGGTTAAACATTGCTGCCTATTTATTTGCTGTGGAGTTTTTGAACCAAGCTGTGAAGTCCCAAACAAGTGATGGATTTGGCTTGATACTCTGTGGGTACATCACTTTTGGAAGGCCTGCTTGAACCTTTTCAGATTACTACTGGAAGAGATACTCATCCTGGAAACCCAGCCCAGCATCAAGAATGCCCCAGACATTGAATGGGGGTTCATTTTCTTTTTATTCTTTTTATGGTTTTTTAAAGTTGTACTTCTTCCCAAGTGCCAAAGGGATTTTGCAAAATAAGAACTAGGAGCTATGGGTATTTTGGAAAATCAAACCAATGCTGTCTTAAGCAGAAAAGCTTCTGAACTTCTTGAGATCAACTCCAGATTGAAAACTTTCAGTCTGGAAACTAAGAGCCACCCAGGTGCAGGCTCTGTTACATTTTAGAACATTTTGCTGTACTTCTAGCACAAAGTTTTCACTTGATTTTCTGCTTTCTGCTGGCCCAAACCATTTTGATACTTGCAAAGGGAAAAAGTAGTGATCATGAGCTTTCTGTTTATGCATGCTTTTGGGTACTGTGGAAGAAAGCAGCAAATGAGGAACAAGTACATTTTAACATCTGTAGGACAAAAGTTAAACTGGCTGTCTGCATTAATTTATCCACATATGAATGGATTTACAGTTCAAAAACCAGCAGCTATATTGAGACAATAGATTGCAACAGTCCCAAAAGTTTCATGGTGATAATTTTTCTCTAAAAAATTCCTAGAGACTCACTGATCTCCAGTGGAATCCTTATGATCTGCTGGCTCAAGCATCTGCTTTTTAAAATGTCCTCAAATGTAGATGACTTATTATATGGTTGATGGCAAAGCTTCCAAACAAAGCACTTGAGTAAGTTAGGTAAACATTTGTCATGCCAAGGAAAAAAACCCCACAACACACATGTAGAGAAAAAGAAACACATTCTGGCAGTTGTTTTTATTTTCACCCACATTTTTTTATTTAACACACAATGAAAATGAAAACAAAAAGATATTCCACTTGGGAAGGCACAGTTTTCATTTCATTGGCCCTTTCTTTTGCATGGGCAAATGCCAAAAGAATAGAGGTGAGATCTAACATCTTCCTTTCTTGTCTTTGAACAACTGAAATTAGACCATCCACACCATGTGAAGAAGAGCTTTTACTGTTCAGTTGTTCTGTTTGACTATACAAATGCTTCAAAAATTTGTCTTTGCAATAGGAACTCTTAGATTAAATGCTCCAGGTCACCTGTGTTCCCAAGGGTGTTTTTATCACTTGTACATGTAGATTATGACAGCATTTCCTTGTCCTTTGCTTTAGGATGCATTTGTGAAGGTTTCCTTTTTAAAAACAAAAATGCAACTGAATCACAATGTTATACTTCTTGTAACAGGAATATAAATTAAGTCTTGTCCCGCAGTGTTTGGGACAGTCTTGGAGGAATGGCTTTGAAAATTTACAAAAGTGAAGAAAGTGATACAAATAAATGGTGACCCACAATCTGATATTGGTTCTCCTCATTTTCTGACTTGATTAGTAGCTACCTGATACAGCTAGATTAGAAGAACTTGAAGGCAAATCTAGTTTGCCTTTTTTAATGTAAAAAGGAAATAGTGCATTACAGAAACACTGAATTGCAGAAGTTTATATATCATAATAAAAAAAGAAAAACTGTCACTCTTGGTTTTGTTTATGTGAATACATCTTATTTCTAGTTTACCAGGTTATAAATAAGTATTCCAGGCTAGTCCCTTTATTGTGTTTGCAGCTTGTCCAGGTTTCCCTAGCAACACCTTTTCAGTAATTTTCAGTATTCCTAGACTAATTATCATCTGTTTTAATCCTTACACAGATCTATTCTACATATATACTGAGAACATAAACTTGCCAGAATTATGGTCCATCAAGTCTGGTATTCTGATTCTGGCATTGGCCAGTAGGAGATACAAGACTTCTGGCTTTCATATCATGATGATCTCATCACAATTTCTGATAGTTTCTGCTAAGAGCTTCACTATAAGGCTTTGTTTCCCCTTGTCTTCCATTACTTACCTTATTACTGTCAATTAATCCTCTTCTGAGTATTTACATGTATGTTTGTATATGTATTACTCATGTATTTGACTTTCTTGGCTAATATTTTCAGTGGTGTTTGGTGGCTAAGCAGCAGACTAGTCTAGTGTTAGTTCTTCTTGTCTGAGTTCCTTTTGCTCACCAGATAATAGTACAACTCAAGCAATGTAAATGCCTAATATAGACAAAGACCTGGGCATCTATTTGCTTGTCTGGGAAACTAAATACTTTCCAAAACTTTGTCCTTTCTCTCAACCTCTCTTTACATGGAATTGGGCATTTATCATACCCTCTGTCATTCAACTCCTAACTCCTAATGACGACTGTTAGATGTGTCTCAGACCTCTCTGGTTATATGTGCTGTTTTTGAAGCAGGGTGACCAATGCAGCATAGAAGGCCTTAGGATGTCTTAATGATTTTTTGATGTGTTTCTACTGAAGTTTGGGTTCCTTTCCGGATTCACGTGCTGAAGGATGAATCTTAGCAGGTGAATGAGCAGCACAAATCTTGTACCATTCCCCTTTTCCTGCCCTCTGCCCCATGACTGTTTCTAATTTCCACCATTAACTTGCCACCATACTACTCATTAGCCTTCTTGCCCTGATGAATGATTAGTCCCTTGAATGGACCAGGTAAAATGGCTTTGTGTACTGAGGAGGTCAAGGTTCATCAGTGCTTGGGCCCATTTCTGTCTATCCATGGTTATGGCATTGGTGGATTTATTGAATGCTTAAAAACAACTTCATGCTCAATGGGTAATTCAGTCTCCTGCACTCCTGATTAGACCAATAAAGTGAAGACAAACTAAAAAGTGAATGTGAGTGTGAGACCTAGCATGGAAGTTGGAAGTCTACATTCAACACAATATATTTCCTTGGTGTTTTGTTTTAAGGCATTATGAGGGTTTTATCCGTTTTACCTCTGGCTTCCTTGTGGCTTAGTTTCTGAAGTTACTGCTCTGTAAGAGTTTGGCTGCCATACCTCAGGCTTGTTTGGAGGGATTATTAATCAGATTACATCAATTTTTGGTCAGTTAGAATTTCAGATGCATATCTATAACATGCAGAACCTAGGAACAGGAATAACTTTGAAATAATTTTTCTTCTTTCTTCCCTCCTCCCCCCCCCTTCCCATTTGTTTCTGGAAAGCAGGATCAGCAGAAGTCTTGTTTCACCTCGACTCTGTCAAGCGAAGCATCTTGTTCTCTATCCTCTCCTGAAAGCACATTCAACTCCCAAGAGTCTTCATCTTCCTTGACATCCAAAGTGGTTTACTCTGAGAGGCAGTCCTGGCTTGACCTAGTTAACAGCTCTGCCACAGAAGATGGTGATCAGCCCTTAACTTTCTGCGTACAGATTCACTCTGATGAGCTGCCAGAAGTAGACTGTGGAGAAGTGGCAGAAAGCCAGGAGGTCCGGCTTTCCAAACCCGGTGGTGGATCCCAAAACTCTTTTTTAGGTCCGGATACACATTGTCTAGCTGTGCCAGATGTAACAGGACAGAGATCACTAGCCAAAGGTGAGCTAATGAGAGAGGAGATTTTTGTTTGCAGAGCCATACAATATTAGACTTCACAGGTTTTCCTCAACTTCCTTTCCTCTTCCTTCCTTTATGCTCTTCACTGAACAGTTTTCCAGTGGCACATCATTTATAACACATATTTGGTTTACTGCGCATTAAATATATAACCTAGTATCTAATTGGTAAGTACTTTTACAGCTTTTCTCAAATTCTACCTATATGTTTAAGAGCATAGCCTCTGTATAAAATCCTAACATAGACATATTTTTGTTAGCTTTCATTATTTCGGTACATCTGTCTTTTATTAGTTAGGATTGAATCAAAATTTTAATAAAGTGTGTCGGAGAACTCACACACTGAGGGAAATGGCGTATGTAGGAACTGGTGAACATGAGGTTAGGTCAATCAAATTTTAAAAATAAAAGCAGTTGTGTTTACTTCCAGTACATACTTGTTTCACTGAGCTTCACTGTAATCAAAGGGAAGCAACTGCAATCCTGAATCAAAGTCCATTAAGACTGAATTTTCTTTAAGTAAATGAGTATCTGCATAAGTATCCTCCTCCTGATATATACTGCTGAATTAAAATGTGGCACAGTTCCAGAATTTGGTCATTGTTACTGTTAGTAACTCTCCTGCTGTAGTGAGGCAATGTTTCTTGCCTTTTGCCCAAATGAGAAGATACTCAGCATGCTACCTAGAGAGGTAATACATATGGAAGCAACAATATTCTTGTGCATCAGCTCTACCCATGATTCCAAATCCTTGTAAAGCTTTGAAGTGAGCACTTTGTCGATGAAAGAGCAGTGTTGTCTCAGTACAATGCAAAACAAGGTGCATGCGAAAGCTTAGGCTGAAGGTAATGCAAGAGTGGAAAGAAACAGCACTGCAGTCACTGAGAACTTAGGGTTTTTCTCTGTAGGTGAACTTGGTACTGATTGAAAACTGTTAGTACAAGGCACGTTAGTTACATATCAGTCTCCTAATTGTTTTACAAGTATCAACAGTTAACACCTCTTTAGCTTGTCATATGTTTTGCTGATTTTACAAAAGAAAAAAAAAAGAAATTAAGCAAAGTACATATTTTAGCAAAAGGAAAATGAATTCAGTGTTCTGTGTTCAGCTTCATTATCAATCATCTAGGCTGCTCTGCTAGAGACTTCTACAGTAATGAAGATCAGTAAGAATTAAAAGTGAGAGTGAGCATATATACTATTTTGATGTGGCAGAAAGGTGGATGTTTTGAGAGAGTTACTGTGGAATTTAATTCCCATAAGCTCTGGCTTTGCAAATAGTGAAAAATCTGGGGCTGGCAGAAATGGGGTCCCTAATGAAAATGTCACAAAGAGATAGTAAATGCATTGTCTTCCATAATTTTACCTTATGGGTTAAATTTGAGTAAGTAATGCCTTTGGGAAACTTTATTAGGTACATTTAGGTGGATTGATGGAGTATAGGTCATATATAGCATGGTGGCTTATAGATCCTGTTGAGTGAGATTCAATGGATGCTCTTCAGAAATCTAAACTTTTGCTTAGGATATGTTACTCTGGTATTGTCAGCAATCCCGCAATAATGCATAGGTTAATGCTTTTCGTTGTAACCATAACAAGTACTTTTATAGATGGTCATAGAATTAGCATGACATATTCATAGTCATTTAAAGCATAATTTGATAGGCTTAATAATACTAACCAATAAAAAATGGAATTAAAACATAAATCAAGGCACATCTTGCTGTATTCCTGTTACTTGCAAGGTGGTTTAATTTTCTCAGAAATATTCACAGGGAAATGAATTCTTCTGTTGCTCACTGCTTAGCTGATGGCCAGCCCTGATCACAGAACACTTCCATCCTAACCATACTGGTGATGTCTGATGGAATTCCAGAAATAGATAATTTCAATGAGACAGTCACTATGGAAACTGTATAACCTCACTAGTTGCTGTCTTCATCATAACCCGTTGTCAAGCAAGTAAGACATACACCAAACACACGTTTCTTTCCTTTATCAGTCTGCATAATATGGGGAGGGATGGAGAGTGTTGGTGTGTGGGGCCTTCCCCCACAATGGCCACTGAAAAAAATAAATGAAATAATTTGCAAGATTAGTTAAGGTACTTCAATTTGAGAATGAGGTAGGAGAAAAAAAAAGGATTAATGTAAAATAGCAACTCATTTCCAAATGAAAGTTATGAAAAGGGATGCAATTCTGGTTCTGTGGCTTACCCCCCAAGAATTTCCTCCCTCCAGCTAGTTGATAAAGACATGCACAAATACTGTGAGATGAATTTGAATTGTGTGGTAAAAGCTAGCTGCAAAACTTCATGATTTGCAGTAACTAGTAGGAATACCTCTGTTATCTGGTGTGAAACAAGAATGCATACCTCAGTGCAGTCCTTATTATTTGCTTTACAACTCTTCTGAACAGTGCGTTTCTGGCAGCTCATCGTGTTTCAGAGTAATGAGACTGTGTCCAGGAGGAGACAAGTCTGTCTGTCCCGAAAGCGCATGTCCCGTGTGCGTAAAGCCGGCCCTGCTGTTATCAGAACAGCTATGTTGTCTTTTGAACCCACTCCCCTCAGAGCCTTCATGTGTGTCCATGCTCTCTCCTTCTCCATGTGAGGATAGAAAAAACCTGTCATGTGCTCTGCTTTGTGGCCACATTCTGCTTATTAAAACCCCATAAGGAATTTTTGATTGTAGCTGATAGCAACCTAGAGCTGAGCTGAAAGTTTTCAAGAAGTGAAGAGCACTTCTGTTGGCAAGAGTCAGAAATGGGGTCCAATGTCAAAAAGTTAGTACCTAAAAGGAAGAAAGAGTAGCTGTGGCTTCGTGGGAAGAGTTTATCGTGGAAATACAAAAATAGTAAAGAAACCTCAGCAGTGAGTTAAACAATGAAAGAAAAGTTTCACAGATGCAAATGGATGACTCTCTGTAAGAGAAACTACAGATTCAACTAAAAGATCATGGATTATTTTTTTAATGAAAATTATTTAATAAAATCTGATAAGCAACTGTCCGGGGCAAGGAGCTGTACCATATGATATTTTTAATGATGTTTCCAGCCACGCTTAGTGGTGTTATGACCATTCTCACCACCAATTTCTGGCAAGAGGCTACATATCAGAGAGTAATATAAAGGTACAAAAAAGGAGAGTTTAACAATTTTCTCTTTTGAAAGGAGATCAGCATTATGTTTCAATTTCCTTTGTGGGAATATTTAATACTTCCATGTTGCAGCTTGCTACATGCACGATGACAAAGGATTCAAAGTTGCCTGTGACACAAAGAAACTGATAAGTAAACAAGAAACAATTAAGAATACAAACAACTATCTGACTATGTGCTCTGTATGCAGAATCTGGTCTTGCACTGTCTGGGATGGCTAGACATGCTCTACAGCCAAACTCCATCCTTTGTATTTCTTCTGGCAACCACTGGAACAAAAACATCTGACTATGACCCACCACCATCATCAGCAAAAACTGTGATAACAAAAGGAAGCTGTAGAAATTGAGAGGTTAATATAAGAGAAGAGGAATGTGTGTTTGTATTATTTAGGGATCTTCTACTATAGCAATAACATCCTTCTTCCTTGCGTTTTCTGAGGGTTTTATGATCATGTGAAGTTAATGCATCCTGTCAAGGAATTTTTCTGGTACCAGTTCTGGTTTATGTATTTTACTCACAGTAGCTGATAGAAGATCTGGTGTGTGCTGATATTTTGAAAAACCTGGAAAGCTTTTCAAATACCACTTCATTTTTATCTGGGTTGGTTCTGTGGGAAGGATCTGGTTAAATAAGAGCTGGATGCATTAAATTCCTTCTTTTCTCAGAACTGACATCCTCTTCCCCTCTGGAGTCTGCCTGTGCCAGTAATAGCCAGAACAGATCCTCTGGTGTGCTATGGCCCCTTTGTTCCTTCTGCAAAAGTTGCAGAAAATGGCTAGATTGTGGATGAGACTAGCCAAGAAGTACACCTATGGTGAGAACAAAGATGTAGAGAAACAACCGTGTTTGATTATTTTGTTTCTCATCAAAAAGGCTTTAGAAATCACAGTGAAAACTATGGTGTTACGTTTTTCTGAATTCTCTGAAAAAGAGATACTTATTTGTGTTGTTTCCAGTTCGGTCACAGTTTGTTAAAACACGAAATTTCACCACTGAGTCCACTATACTGTTACAGTCAAGAGCAAGTATCTGTTGGTGGTAATGTACTTTTCCTGTTATTTTCTCCCACTCTCTCCTACCTTTAGTCCTTCATTTGCCAGTGAGGAGTTTGACTAAGCTATGCCCACCTAATCCAACTATTTCCTCTCTTTTCTGTTCTGTAGTTATATGGAAAACTGATTTCCCTGGGGTGTCATCACATTCCCATTGAAAACTCTACTACCACTGTGGAGAAGGGATGGGGAGATGGGAGAGTGGGTAGGTAGGTGAGGGCAAAAGCAGTTCATGCTTTTTTCCTCTGTTCTCCCCAGGCTGGCTGTATATGTTGTCCCATTGGCAACAAAAGCTTTGACAGAATCGGAAGTGGAGGTGCTGGCACAAGTACAAGAAGCTCAAAAGAGTAGCAAAGACAGGAGGAAGAAGCAGATTCTTTTTCCTGCAATTAATACACAGTTGGAGAGCTGTGAGATCTCAGTTAGGGAAGAGGAGAACAAGTATTTACATTTCAGTTTAGATTTAGTAAGATATGTTCTGTTGGAGGTGGTTTTCAAAGCAAAATGATCTTTCTGCCGAACATTGTCAATTTCTTTATCTTTACTTCTGGGAAACAATCAGCTTGATTTTTCACAGCTGCTTTGTGAAAAGTTTTGGGTAATTTCACTTTTGTAGGCTTAAAGAGCATTAAAGCTGATATTTCAGGCCTGCTCCTGTTGTGCTGCTGCAAGGTGGGGAGTCTCAACACCGTAATGTCTCCCACCTGTGGCAAGTTGGCTGACAGGAAGGTGGAAGCTGAAAATTGAGGAGGTGAACCTCTGGCAGTGTGCTCTTGTCTGAGATATCTCCTGTTAGTTAGAGGGAAATTCTAGATAAGTGGTACTGAGCCACAAAATTGTGTTTTACTTCTCCTGAAACAGAATTTGTCAGAAGTTCTGACTTGCCTGAAATATTACTTTATTTTCCTCACCCCGAACCAGAAGGTCTCTTTCTGTTGAATGCTAAAATATCTCGGGGCAGAACTTTCCTTTTCCTCAGGTCAGCACTGGTTCTTTTCCACTTTCCCCACTGTGGAGTCTGACAAAGTTGAAAGAGTTATACAATACTACACAATTTTTCCCAGAAGTGTTATGAAGCTTTAGCAGGCTGCAAGGCTTGTGAGTGAAGGGCGTGGGTGCAGGATCCCAGGAAGACTGACCTTTCCAGTGGCATCATTCAACAGACTTGCTTGTAGTTAATACTGCCAAGGGAAAGGAAAAGTGCACAATGCATTTGTTCCCCTGTGTGCATGTACATGCTCTTAAATGCACACGATATATAATATCCTCACACTGTTGCTGTTTGTACCTTACCACTAATCCTTCAGAAGGTCCTGAGAGAAGAATTAATGTATTTTGTCTTTAAAGTAGGGTGAGGTAGAGAAGTGCTGTAGCAGCATTTCAGTTTCCTAACTTGCATGCCTGAGACAGAAAGTGTTTAGGTTGAAGAGTACTGGTGGAAGAGATACCTTGCAAAATCACTTTGAAGTGATTTTGAATGTGCCTGATGTTAGCTGTGTGACCCAACTGGAAAGACTCACTCCAGAGCAGTGCTAGTGGGGCCCAACCTGTTCATGTTGTTAAGAATTTTGCCAGCTGAATATAACCATCATTATAAACCTTCAGAGGTTAACAAAGCTCAGAGAAGGGGTGGTACATTTATCTTTGTGAGATTGACACAATCTGTTCATTTTTACACCAGGGCCTGAGACTGTGTACCATGTGCTTTTTGCATAAATTTTTACTTTGTGATGGAAAGCAAATATTTTGTAACAATTCAATAGTATGGTCTAGACAGCCCGGGTTTCATAGCAGGAATCCAAATCACTGAAGCCTAAAAATATGGAACTGATGAAAGCCTGTGTTTCTATTAGAGACTTGCTCATCTGCAGGTCAGTGCTCTGACTCCAAGTACTAGGCAATTAAGCAATACAGAGTTCTGGGAAAATGTGCTATGAATGTTTGAATCTGGAGAAAAAGTCCAGCTTTGAGGCACGTTGCTTTATCTCTATTACTCAACCTTAATTTTCTCTCAGGTGTTTTATGGGGAAAACAAGCAAGCAAACTTCAGGTAGTGCTTTCCTTGTTTACTTTTGTGGCACTAAGACGCTTGTGAAATACCATAATGCACCACTGTGTGAGTGAGAAAAAAGCTATTTTTCTTAACACAGATCATTTTATTGGGCTTGTTAATTGATTGCTAGACATAGTGCCTCTCCCCTTTTCTCCATTATGTCTTTCCCTTTCAGATTTACAGCACCAATTTAGTGTGTTCTGTGGCAGCTTCAAGCCTGCAAAACATGAGCTTTTGCTTTCTGGGCTTGGCTCGGGGGAGCTCAGGACATTGAAGGTAAAAGTCCAGATAGGTATCAGACAGTCTGGCCTCAATTTATAGAGGTTTATTGGCAGACGTACTCTTTGTCAATAGCAACAGTATCTGCATCTATACAAAACCACAGTATTAAGATACTGTTTTGTTATCTTTTAACTGTTTTGGAAGAAGCTCACTGCTTATCAGTGTAAATAAAGATGGAGTCAAAAGTATTATAGAACTCATGCCTGGCTCTGCACAGCCTGTAGGTTTCACTCAACCTTGTTTTCCAAATGTTTCTTGATACTCTGTTGAGCTGCTTCACTGTCACTCCCTTTATCCACCTGATCTGAAGAATCTGGCACATTCCTTTCCCTCTGATGTTACCTGACCCTGATCAATCCTTTGGGGGTGGGAGTGGTGGAAGAATAAGAAATAGGAGAGGAGTTTAAGGTTGCTATCTTGAAAGAATGCAGGAGCTGAGTGCACATTGCTGGTCAAGTGCATCTTCTAGGAGCCTTTTGCTGGGCTTTTCTGACTTTGGATCCATCTTCTTCTGTGGTGAGTATTACTGTCTTCCTTACCTTCACCCACAAGTACGTGGAAGATTCTAGAGTACTTAGCATGGAAGAAGAGTGTTCAGTGAGGGTGTTTTCTCATGCTTGCTGCTTTGTAACCTTTTAGGACACTAAGGAGCATCATGAATTAGCTTTAAAAAAATATGTGGAGCAGTGATCTTATGTCCCCCATGGCTTGACTATTTTTTAAAGTAGCTGTACAGGATCAATGCATTTTTTTTTTTTTTTTCTTCTTATATACTCTTTCTTGGGTATCTGATAAGGGTAAATTTATCTATCAAAGTGATACCGTGCCCAGTCCTGATGGGTGATGTTTACAGTAGAGCTGAGCCAGTCCTGTGCAGGAGCTGGCTAATGAAACAACCAGCTGCTTCATCCCAAGAAAGTAGGCAGGAAGCTAGTTATGATTACGAGCCTTATGACATGAGCCAACAGTTTTCAGGAAATACTACTGCCGTGTATTATGCCTTACACGTCCATTTTTTTTTTTCTATTTCCCACAGCTTGTTAAATATACAACAGTTCTCCTTTTCCTCCTCCAGCACTGTACTAATGTTGGAAGCTATATTTAGTTCTTGTCAAGTTACAGCAGGCTTTTTATAATCACAAAGTAGTGAAAAAAAGGCCAGCAACACAGTGAAGGAAAATATTTGTAGCATATCATAAACCTATCTTTTCGCCTAAATATTTAGAAAGAACAAGGGTGTAGGAGGATACTGTACTTTTCAAAACATAGAAAAGATAAAGACCAGCTTCCTAAGTGTGCTGACATGTTGGAGAAGTCTTTTTGCTGTGTCAGGAGTGAACAGAAGGACTTCTTCCTTTTGTTCAGAAAATGTTTGCTGACTGAAGATGATTTAGCAAAGTCAATGTTTTAAATTCTCATGAAAAGAAAAAAGTGCACAGACACTTTGATTGGCACGTGGAGGACAGCAATTGAGAAGAAGCACCACCAGTATCACCAGTGAAATAAAAACAGATGTTATTCCAGTGGATCTTGAAGGTCTCATTAGCACCCTGAAAACACCAGTAACTTTAAGATTTTCCTTTATCAAACACTGAAGTAGAAAAGCTCACAGTGTGGACTGCGGGACAAGAAGCAAGTTGTGCAATCTGTTGCTGAAAATGGCCTTCTGCCAAAACACCCCTTTATATTCCTGGAATATTTTTAGTTGCTGACTGTTCATTTTAAAGTTGTTTTATTCTGAAAAATGTCTTTTCTTCGATTTTTATCTCATTTTATACTATTTAATTCTCAGCTGTTTACTAGTTTTTTCTTTCATGTCCTTTTTGCCATGGAAGATGGTGCTGCAGCTTGGGAGCCATCAGAAAATTAAGGTGGAGATAAGGCTTTGCTGGGAGGCACCACGAGCAAATTCTGTGCTACAGTCTGTGAATCTCAGGGGTTAGGCATCAGGTGCCCCAAGGGTTCCTGCTTTAATCTGTTTTCTAGGGACCTTCTCTTGGGGCCTCTGAAATGTTCCTATGTTTAATTTAATTGCTCAATTTTTTTAAACTCTGGTTTCAATTGTTTCCAAAACCTGGTGATTAATTTTTACACCAAACAGAATTTGACTTGTAAGTTGCCAGGTAGAAATATCATTCACTGTGTGCAGCATGTAGGGAAGGGTGTGTGGCTGTAGAGGCTATCAAAGTTGTTTTCATTCAAATGTAGCATTACTGACAGTTGTGCTGAATGTCTGTGATATATTCTGAGCATTAAAGCAGCACTCTGTCTGTGGAAATGCATGTTTGTATCTGTTTGGATCATGACATGATTATTAAAAACATTTGAGTTTGGTAGTATGTCTTTCTCATATGCATTATTACCCTAAAAATTGTCCTTAGTTTTAACTCTATTACCATTACTTTTTGACTTGGCTAAGAGCCTTCCTGATGGCTGAACTTAACATTTCTACTATCTGCTGCCACATTCATGTTCTCATACCCAATTTATTATTTTCTTTGCAGATCAGGAAAAATGTGATGACGATGAGATGGAGCGACTTTACAAGTCATTAGAACAAGCAAGCTTGTCTCCCATTGGTGATCGTCGGCTGTCAACAAAGAAGGAGCTGAGGAAGTCATTTATCAAACGCAGCAAAAACCCCTCCATTAATGAGAAGCTTCACAAAATTCGAATGCTGAACAGCACATTAAAGGTGAGGTAACGGAGCTAGCCAAGGAAAAGCCTGAGAGAAAGAAACAGCTTGGCTGAAAGAAGAAGTAAGCCTAGACTTCAGCCAAACTCTAACTACATGTTTACTTAAAGCCCAAGAGAATTTGATTAAGTTTTTGAAATTATGTTCTACTTCATTCTAAATACTGATCTGTGTTTTGTTGTTCAATTTGAACTGGAAACAGAGGCAGTAGTTCAGAAGGGACTCTTCTTGCAGAATTTCCAGTTCATTTGAAAAAATTAATAAAGAAAGCTTCTCTTAGTTTGCTGGAAAACTTGCAAGCTCAGCTGAATGCACTAAACAGGGGAGCCTTAAAAAAGGAAGAGCAGACAAAGTACGTTGATGATAAAGGACATGAAAATGACCCTGAGCCAAAAAAAGTTTTCCTTATGTGATTATTGGAGAATGTACAGGATGTGCCAAAGCTATTGTAGAGACCTCCTGTAACTAAAACATTTTTAATAACAAAAGCATCCTGCTTTTATGTTGGAAATGTATCATGAATTGAAGGGGTGGAGGGGTTTAGGGGACATTCTGTGAAAGGGCCAGTAAATCTGTCTGGAATATGGGGATTTATGAGGCTGTTTACTCACCAGCATCAAGTGTCATGGGATTTCAAAGCCTGCTTCTGAATGGTACTGAGGGAAATAGAAAACTTAACCACAACTTTTGAATTGTAAGGAGAAGAATTAATGAATGCAAACCTGGGGCTTCATCTGTTTCTTTTTGTATGCATTAGAAGCAGGAATTGAGTATCTTTTTTCAAGTGTGTGTATTTGGTTTCAGGCATATTAAGCTGGAGAAATACATGTAAATACTTCTTCTATCAGCACAATCATTGATTTGATTATTAGTTGTAATGGAAGGTTTGGCTTTGTCACCCTGGCCTGTGTTAAAATTCCTGAAGATACCGTTGAAAAGACAAGTGGGAATACAGTCATTCTCCCTGGCTCCATATGAGACCTGGTGAAGTCTCTCCTCAGTATCAAAGAGTCTTCAGTGACATGGTACTGACTATAGCAGTATCCATCTGCATCAGCAATAAAATGAAACCACCACTAACAGCAAGTTAGTTTAAAAAGTATGTCTATTTTATGAGACAGGATGCTAAATATAGAAACATACTACAAAGTTTTCCCTGATAAGAGCCTCCCTAGTAAACCTAAGAACCAGTGCAAAATAGAGTTGTATCTTGTGGGACAATCAATTTCATTAGTATGGAGCTGAATGGAAGCCTTACTGCCTGACATCATCAAGGAGGACAGCTTTGCATTGATTTAGCACAGGGGCATTGTAGAAGTTGTGATCAACAGTGTTTATAACCTTAGGCTTGTCTAGAACTTGTATTTAATATGGAAAAATCATTCTTGGAGTGTTCCTAATGTATAAAATGTGTTGATCTTTCTTTCCTTTCTTCATTCTAAGAAACTGGAATATTGACAAGACAAATACAGCACAGACATTTTCTCACAGACACAAACAGAGTTCTATACACAGCAGTGTTTAAGTTAGCCTGTATAAAAAGCAAATGCCTTCAGTGGGAAAGTGCCACATTATTTGCATCAGTGGGATTATGTGCTTTTAAAGTCAATTTTCTTAACGTATAACATGAGATAATTGGAATGATCTATTGGAAATTTTTAAATCAGGAAAGTTTTGCATCTGATCCATATTTGATCTGTTTTAATTAAAACTCTATTAGTTTGAGAAGCGGTTTATGCAAGATTCAGTGCAATTTTAATTTTGGACTTTTGACTCCACATCTTTAACTACAGATTAATGTTGCTGCCACGATATATCATTAGCAAAACATGCTTTGAATAGTTTGGAAAGGAGGGAAGATGTGTGCAAATGTATCACAGGCTTAAAAAATGTGGGAAATAGATTTAGCAGTACAGGAAAAATTCCATGGCATGGCTTTTTGCCACCAAGTTTCTCCACTGGCAATACTCTTCTCTCCTTTCCACCTGCCTATCTCCTCTTCTTCTCTTAGGCTAAATGTGCATATCTCTGCCACAATGCTAGAAGCATTCTTACAAGGGCTGGCACTAGGTCTTGAGGGTAGGACCTCTGTAAACCAACAATTGAACAAGCTTTTGTGTTTAAAAAGCAGCTAAGTCATCACAGGGATTAGAGTACCTGATAGTTCATTAGAGTAGTAGTGGGATATGGATGTGTAAGCAGTCAATTGCTACTATCAGGAAGTGTCTTGAATGTGCGGGATTGTTTTCAAGGTGCTTTCAAGACGTTTTCAAGCCATTTTCAAGGCAGCCACTAGCAGGCATGATGAAACCGGTGGCAGCAGAAGATGGCTGGAACCATTCAATTGCTTTCACACACTGACTGGAGGGGGTTGGAGACAGGCAAAAAGCAGTAAAGGTTTGTTACTGCAACATGGTGCCTCCATTAAGAAACTGAAGCTGTTAGCTGGGGCTCCTCTATCCTGTTGTCTACTGCATGGATGGGCAATAGCGGCTGGAAAAGAAAAGTGGTTTGTTGTGTCAGAAAATGTGAGGACATCAATGAATATAAATATCTGAGAGGAGGATGTAGAGATGACAGAGCCAGGCTCTTCTCAGTGGTGCCCAGTAGCAGAACCAGAGGCAGTGGTCACAAACTGAAACACAGGAAGTTCCTTCTGAACATCAGGAAACACTTTTTTTACTGTGAGGGTGACCAAGAACTGGCACATGTTGCCAAGATAGTTTGTGGGGTCTCCATCCTTGGAAATATCCAAAAGCCTCTTGGACATGGTCATAGGCAGCCTGCTCTAGGTGTCCCTGCTAGAGGAAGGGGGTTGGACAAGATGATCTCCAGAGATCCCTTCCAACCTCAAGCATTCTGTGATTCTGTGACATAAAGGGTGTAAGTGTCCCTATATCAGTGACTGTTCATGTCTCACAGTTGAACGAGGGTGCCTGAAATATACAGTGCTCTTGTCTAAAAGTAGAGACCAGATTTAGTGATAGTAGCTGGCAGTAGATGTATTAGCAGCCACATGTGCTCTAGCCACTCTACTGTCAGTGCACAGATCATATCCAAAATTATTTTCTGTCTACCTCCAGAGAGGAGACCTTTACAATGTGTCCAGGGAATAAGTATTTTTTGAGAAACTTGGAACTGGTGTGAATTACAGAAACAAATGCTGTTTTGTCTAGTTTCATGTAAGTACTAACTTGTTGTGAAACAGCATAACATTGTCTAATTTTCGCATGAATCCTCTCTCATCAAGTTTTGCTAAGAATCCTACAAAATTAAAATTCTACATGAAATCATAATCTAGCCTTCAACTGGGACAAATTTCTGCTGTGGACTTAACTTTGATGATCTACATTATAAAAATGGGAACATGTTGCCAGGAAGATGGATAGTTGGCCATGTCCTTGTGACATGGTTCTTTAATGTTCCCAATGTGTTTTGATTATGGACAATAAGCTTGACAGTTTCTGTGGGAAATAACTACTTGTTCTCTTCCTAGTGTAAGGAACATGACCTGGCCACAATTAACCAGTTGCTAGAGGACCCAAAGTTGACTGCAATGAAGTACAGAGAGTGGAGAAACACAAACATCATGTTGGTCCAAGATATTTATCAGCAGCAGGAGGTCCGGGATGCGTCCACAGAGAATAGTGAAGAGCAAGAGATGACTCCACAGCCTATCACCGAGAGTGCTATCTGAGGCCACAGTTCAATGGTTCATAGCAAGATTTTTCCCTACAGGTCTTCACATACAGGCACTTTAAACTGCTGCATTTTGAGGTTTGTTTTTTTCCAAGTGTTCTTCAAAAGGAAAATAACCCCTTCTCCAAAGCTTTAATTCCTCTTGCAAAATTCATTTCATGTCAAAAGGGCAAATTCCCCAAATTAAAAAAGCTTGCCTGAACCTGGGCTGCATACCTAAGAAGACTATTTATGAAGCAGCAAAGAGTTGTTTTTCCATCTTTGGAGAAATAAATTAAATATGTCCAGCTCTTGGAAGCCACAGAACTGTATAATATGTATTGTATAAATGTGAGATCCTTGGGGTTGTTTAACCATGTGATTTACTGATAAAAGAAGCTAAAACAATGCCAACAGAATGTAGTCTACTCTACCTTTTTAGCCTATAAGGTAACCTGCTGTATGCATTGTCATCATTACATTCATTCACTGCCACCAGTCTACCAGTTTAAACTGAGACAAAGAGAATAGTAATTATGCATGAGTTTATACTACAGACATCTGTCAGGCACCCAGTTTGTGCTCTGCCTGATGTTTTATGCTTTTCAAACTTATTTATGGACCAGACCAAGGTACTGTCTGTCTACATAAAGAGGCCTCTCAATGTTTGCTAACATGTAATTTACTCTTCCGTGAGGCAGCTAATGCTTCAACAAGTTTCAGCTTTTCTGATGGATTTGCAGAATTCCTTCAAGATTGTTTTCTTCTTTTCTTATTTCTGACAATTGTGAATATATAAGGTACAAGTTCATCCCAGATTCCTGCTTGGGAAGGTGATCAAGTTCACAATGCAGAAGCTAAATAATTAAATTCCTGATATGGACCTGAAAGTGTAAAACAACTAGTTTTGTAAATATATGTCATTTTACGGCTTATATGAATGTGACTATGTATTGTATATATGTTTTATTTATATATTTATATACGCCAAATTTCCTAATGTAGATAGGCACATATGGACCAGACCCGCCCAGATGAGAATGCTTACAGATTGACTTGAAATGTCTTTTTGTTTTTTGTTCCATTATAAATCACAGTAATGGCTCTACAACTGAGACTACACTGGGACATCTGCTGTAAATTTTTCTTCTGTCTTTGCATTTTAGATTAAGAAAATCTGTACAATTTAGGGCAGGATAGTAAGTTTTCTAGGATGTTTCAGGATTTCACTTTGGGCAAATAAAAGTAAATATGTTAAGAGGTTTTGCTGGAGGATCATAACTTTTTGGCTTCATTATCCCCAGTACAAGGTTTGGGTTTTTTGCCTTCCCTTCTTCTACACATGTACAAGTTTGGGGAACTCTGCAGAGTGTTGAATTTTGAAAAGCAAGAACTAGCCCACCATTCTCAAATTAATGTGACTGCAGGGATTGTGGCAATTTGCCTTTCTTTTGGAGATTTTGTAAAGATATTCTTTGTCATTAGTTTTCAACACAGTTTATCTTTTAAAACAAAATACACTATACAGATGCAGCCATATTCATCTGTCTTTATACATTATATGTTTTATCATAGCTTGACTAAGAAAACAAAAGTAAATAGTGTTAGTAGCAACATGTGAAATTTTTTCCACCTATGTAGTGATAAGTTTGACTGTCAATGCTGCATTTTTAACACTCAGCAGCTTTCCTTTTAAAATAGAGATATGGAATTATGTCCCGGTGCATCCAAAAATGGTAGTTAAGGCTGTGTCGAGTGTGAGAACTGAGGAGCAGATTGTAAGCTATAAGAAAGGGGAAACAGAAGGAAGAATGTAGGCTCTTTTATATAGGCTTTAATGGGAGAGCGCCAGGGAAAATGGTGGCTGGTTGAAGGCAGAAGCAGGACTATGCTTGGGATAGCATCACTGCCTCACAAAGGGTTTAGGAGTGTAAGGGTAAGGACTGATATTGGGTCAGGACTTAATAATTGAGGCTAGTCTGCTGGTGATAAATAATTGATAATGGAGACCAAATTGCATGTACATTTTCTCTTGCAAGTGCAAGTTTTTCATGAAACAAAGTGTGTAAACACCATTTTTCTTCAAAAGCTTCTTCACTTAGATCTTAAAAACAAGCACATGCTTACATGGTCGGTCAAACTAGGCCAGACGAGTCAGTGCCTTGCAGTTCTCAGCAAAGTTCTAGTCAGCTTTGTCTGCTGAAGTAGATTTGCACTATACAAAGGAAAGCACTAAGTGGCCTGCACATACTGTGTTGTCTCCTTTCACACTGTGCTTGTATATGTATTTACAAAACAGATTTCCCAAATATATAGAGAGACAAACGTCCTTGGACTGCACAAACTCTACTGTTGGTTTTGACAGGTTACATAGCCTAAACCAGATTTTAAATGACTATCTCTCAGATGATCAGTAGACACTTATTGTTGAACTATTGAGGTTTTGGAAAGCTGCTGAGGATGGTCGGTATCACCCTTCTAGGAAAGAACAGATAATTCTTGAATGGGGTTATTTTAATGTAGTTATTATTTTAACAAATTTCTGTGTGTTCAAGAAAACAAATGTATATGTTTTATGGAAGGGCAGCACTGGGAGTCTATCTTCATTCTCTTCAGCTTCTATTTAGACCCAAGACAAATGGAAAATGTGGGAAATATGAAGCAAAAAATGTAGTAAAAGAGGATTAATTTTCCAGCATTGCTAATCAATGTGACAGTTTTCACCTGATGCTCAGTTCATCACAAGGGGCTGCGCAGCAACATGAGAGCGACAATTGGAGTAAGAAATGTGCACAAGCAGACAGCTACAGCTGGTGGATGCAGTGGGGAGCCACCTTGGCAGGAGAAACTTGGACAACTCTGTGCTCCACTGTCCTGGGTTGAGTGAGTGGTGGAGTTTTTTGGTGGCAGGGGAGGGGGCTATCGGGGCAGCCCCCTGTAAGAAACTTCTCGAAGCTCCCCCAGCTCCACGTCAGCTCCACTTCTGTTTGGGAAATTGAGCCAATCGGCTGCGCCTCTGCGATAACGTATTTAAGAAGGGACGTGGTGACGGGCAGTCGGACTTGTGAGGAGGAGTTGCTGCAGCTGCGTGAACACCAAGGTCAGTGGAGGAACGGAGGAAGAAAGGAGGGGGGAGGTGTGCCGGAGCAGAGACCCCCCTGTATCCTGTGGTGAGATGGCAGGGCGGCCCCCCCCTGCCACCCATGGAGATCTACGGTGGAGCAGACATTGATTTACAGCCTGTTGTTCCTGCTCAGCTGATCAAGGTTCTGTGCCTGAAGAAGGCCGGGGTCTCATGGGAAAAGGTAGCCCCGCTGCTGTAATTCAGCGCTGGGAGGATTGCAGCATGCGGGGGTGTCCCACGCCGGAGCAGCTTGGGAAGGGCTGCAGCTGTGGGAGAGAATCCAGTTGGAGAAAGTTAGTGACCCATGACAGAGCAGTGTGGGGAACGCTGCGGCCCATGGGAGGAATTCAAGTCGGAGAAAGTTTGTGGAGGACTGTCTCCTGTGAGAGGGGGACTACGATGGAGCAGGAGGAACAAGTTTCGGACACTCCCCTCACTGAAGATGAAGGAAGTGGCAGTGCTGACTGCACCCCCCATTCCCTGCCCCTGCGCCACTGGGGGAGGACGTAGAGATATCGGGAGCAGAGCTGAGCCCGGGAAGAAGGGAGGGGTGGGGGGAAGGTGTTCTCAAGATGTGGCAATGATTCTCACTGTCCTACTCTGTTATGTGTTGTTAGTGTCTGTAATAAATGTATGTTCTTTTTTTTCTTCCCCTAATGAGTCTGCCTTTTGCTTGTGATCATAAAAGGGGGATTTTTCCCCATCCCAGTCCTATCTTGAACCCCAAGCCTGTCTCTCTGTCCCTTCTCATTGCTGGAGGGGAAGGGAGAGAGAGCTGCTGCATTGTGGTTGGCTGTCAATCAGGCCTAAAACACGACATCCACTTGGTGATACTTGGGGTAAACGGTATCTGCTGGTCTGAATTTGGAAGGCCTGTACTACTGACTCATAGCATAGGGAAACTGTGCATCCCTAGTCAGTGTCCAAAAGTCTTTAACCATCTGCCTCGAGGGATTTGTTTTATGTACTTTTTCAAGAGAAAGTGCATGTGAGTGGATGTGTGCATGTGTGCAATTATGCCTTTGTCAGTAAAGCCTTTTGGTATTGGTGCAGTAAGCCCAGCTATACAGATTTTGGAGTAACTAATGACAATACCTAATTTCATCTGGTTTTGGTGGCTTTTCTGGAAATTGAATTTCTCTGTTTTGGTGGCGCAGATCTCACGAGCTGCCAGAATTAGGTGGGATCGCATTTCCTTTCCTAAGATGGGAGAGAATTCACGTGGGGACAGTGAATTTTTTCTGCATCTAGTTCTGATGATTTACTCAATACTGGGTTCCACCTGAAACAGGAATAACCATGTATAAACAATGTGCTATAACCTTTTATTTTATTTTTTTTTTCCTCAGTAATTTTATTTTTGGATGAAATCTTCATATTGAGAGAAAAAGTTTTGAGTCAGCTAAGAAGGGAGGGGAAGAAAAGAGGCGATATTTGATTTGAAACTATGTAGAATTTCAGAATTTAAAATTATTTCTAACTAGGAAAAATTAGGGACATGCTGCATCTATCGTGAGCATGTAAGCTTACACATCTATTACACATCTAATATAAAAACTTGTATGTTTTAACTCTTAAAGTAGCAAGAGCGTTCATGTACGCATAGTTCTATGTGAGGAACTCTGTGTACTGTGGTTGAAATTTGGGGTACGGGCTTTTTCTGTTGTTTTACTTGTTAGGTGGGACAAAAGTGACCAATTGCAATGATAGCTTAGGCTTACTTAATTTATGAGATGTGTCTTTCTGTTAACAGGAAGCCAAAGTGGTTTTCTTGTAGTAGTAGAGCCAAAGTGGTATTTCCTGTTTTGTGTGGGTCATTTTTAAGCAGCAGATGTTTTAAGGTATCAGTCAGCATTTCCTTGACAGCTTGAAGATTCATCCCATTTTGTTCTGCTTCAAGCTGCCACGTTCTTGCATTTTTAAGGACTGGCTTCATTATTACCTAAAGGAAAAATTGAAGTGAAAAAAGGAAAAGGAAAAACAGAGCATAAAAGCTCTGAGTTAAGATCAGGCTGGAATTCTTGTCTCTGCATAAGGGTAACGGGAGATAAGCTTGCCAAAAGCTAGGCATTTCAACACTGAAGAAAGATTGTCAGTTGCTGAGGAGAGTACCACATTCCTTGAAATTTGCTATGGGAGAAGTTCCAAGACCTGTCTGTTCAGGAAAAAATGAATATTTTTCTAATTTATTTCCTCCTGGTGAGAATCCAAAGGGAGTGGTTTATAAGCTTGCAGAAAGTTAAAAATGAAATATGCATGTAATTCATTGATAGTTCATCAAGCTTGATGTATTACCTTGAAATGATTGACTTCAGATGACACAGCCTTTAATGCAGAAAATCCATTTCTTTGGGAAACCACTGTACCTACCACAGTGTTTGAGGCTTTGGTACCTCATCTGGCCCACATAAGGTTCATCTGGAAGATGTAGGTATATGGCATTTCTATAGGGTAAATAGCTTATGTCATCATACCATAGTTTAGGAACTCTAACACTCCCTGTCTCCTAGATGCCTTAGGACCTACCCAAATTATTCTGACTCTTGAAGTTGCTTATGGCAATTTTACCTTCTGCCATCTAAAAATAAAGAAAAGAGGATATGAAAACATGTCTCCCACTCATGTGAAGAGAAACTGGCACTAGTCTAGCAAAGATTCATGTAAGTCACTTCACTTATGAATGTTTAGCAAAATAACTCACCTGGTGAAATGCCATATATGAATATTAATAGCAGTGCTCTTGTGCAAAACATTCAGTGTTGAGCACTGGCCAAAAGGAGGAATGGGGCTGTCTATTCCATTATCCTCTGAGCAGTCAGGGAAAGCCATGCACAGAGGTGTATTTACAAGGATATCTGCTAGGCCAGGGCAGCGGCAGGGCCTGCAGCACCATGAAGGTATATGGAATCTCAATTTGGTATTTTATCTGCTAAGTCTATTTTTTTTTTTTCACTGATTTCAAACTCAAAGCACAATGTTTGCACCCAGCGCTGCCTTTTTACTGCTTGTTGCCCACACATGTGACTTGATTTTAATGGAATGATACACACATCTTGCAGAATGAGAGCCTTATGTTTGCACTTGTCAATTAAACACTGAAATGAGAGAATATTTTGCTCAGCCTTTTTTTTTTT